CAGGCGTGCACCAAGGCGATGAACTGCTTGACGTGCTGCTTGAGGCGAGTCAGCCGCTCCAGGGGCGAGTCAGCCGCTCCAGGGGCGAGTCAGCCGCTCCAGGGGGGTGTTGTGGAACCACCCCTCAAAGAAGTAGCGCGCATCCACGATGCCCCTGGTGATGGTGGGTGGGTGGGTAAGGGGGACGGAAAGGGAAGGGGGGGGGGGGGAGGAGGAGGGGAGCTGAGTAACCAGCCGCTCCAGGAGGGTGTTGTGGAACAGCGCTCGAAGAAATAGCGCGCATCCACTATGCCCCTGGTGGTGGTCGATAGGTTGGGTGGGTGGGTGGGTAAGGGGGGGAAGGGGGGGAAGGGGGGGAAGGGAGGAGGGGAGCTGAGCTGAGTAACCGACTGCTCCAGGGGGGTGTCGTGGAACCACCCCTCAAAGAAATAACGCGCGTCCACGACGCCCCTGTTGGAAGGAAGAGGCGAAACGGGGGAGTGGGGGGAGCAGAAAGAGGAGGGCGAGTCTCGGATAGGCTCATAAATCAATCGCCGTGGCTGAGCAGCTCCGAGACGCTCTCCAGCAAGAATTCGACCTCGCTAAGAGCAGCCCCACTAAAAAAGGGCAGACTCACTTGAGCTTGAGGATGCGGCTGAGCAGCTCCGAGACGCTCTCCAGCGACGGCGAGGTCAGCTCCGGTCGGTGGTTGCTGACGTGGCGCAGCTGCTGGTAGCGAATCACGAAGAAGACGACCTGAGAGGGGAATCGAGCAGCTCGGGACAGAAACTGATGGCTTTGAGTTGACTCAGCTCGGGACAGAAACTGATGGGCGTTTCAACTCGGGCCACAGCGCGAGGCACCGGGTGAGACCTGTAAAGGACCTCGAGCACAACCCTTGAGCTGTAAAGGACCTTCGGAGAACGCAACTCGAGCACGGCCCACACGGCGAGGCAGGAGGGGAAGAGGGCGGGGACGATAGCGGCCGGCGAAAGCAGCGCGAAGAGCCCAAGAGCGTAGGCACGCAACAGTTCTTGAGAGAGAGAAAAAAGCGCGCACCTCGAGCACGCCCCAGACGGCGAGGCAGGAGGGGGGAATGGCGGGGCAGAGCCGCGCGAAGAGCAGTAGAGTGCCAGCACGCAAGCGCACAGAGCAACACGACGACAAGGAAGCAGTTGAGCATTGCGGCACGCACCTCGAGCACGGCCCACACGGCGAGGCAGGCGGGGGGAAGGGCGGGGCAGAGCCGCGCGAAGAGCCCAAGAGCGTAGGCACGCAACAGCTCCAGACCTCGAGCGCAATACGCGCCTCAAGCAATACGCACCTCGAGCACGGCCCACACGGCGAGGCAGGCGGGGGGAAGGGCGGGGCAGAGCCGCGCGAAGAGCCCAAGAGCGTAGGCACGCAACAGCTCCAGACCTCGAGCGCAATACGCGCCTCAAGCAATACGCACCTCGAGCAGCACGCACCTCGAGCACGGCCCACACGGCGAGGCAGGAGGGGAAGAGGGCGGGGCAGAGCAGCGCGAAGAGCCCACACGCCGCCGCTGGCCCCGCGAGAATGGCGACTGTGACCATTCCCCTGCGACGGTAAAGATGGTAGCGGGGGGGAGAGGGCAGAGGAGAAAGAAGGTTATATCTAGAGCGGACCAGAAAGGCCAGGACAGCAGCGCGAAGAGCGCACACGCCGCCGCTGGCCCCACGAGAATGCCGACGGTGACGATTCCCCTGGCATAGTGGAGAGGGTGGGGGGGAAGAGGAGGGAGAGAAAGAGGAGAGAGAGAAAGAGAGAGGAGGAAGAGAAGAGAGAGGGGGGAGAAAAGGGAGAGAAGAAAGAGAGGTATCTCTTGGAAAAGAGCAGAAAGAACGGCATCCTTAGAGTGGATCACAGGGCCATTCTAAGCAGCCGAAGATAGTCACCGTGATAAAGATCAATCGTGAAGCAAGCTATCAAAATCCTCCGGTTTTTAAACTTCGCAAGATCCTCTGACACAAGGTGACTTTTGAGTCGACTCAAAGTCACGTCGCAAGATCCTCTGACCACCGAGCCGCGTGAGATGAGATGTAGTGTGCACCGCCACCGAACCGGACACCAAGTTGCGTCTCCAAGAACTCGCCAATCAGAGCAGTCGACTATTGAGTTGACTCAAAAGGCACGAGCTCGCGTCCCTAAGCACTCACCAGACAGCGCGGGCCCTCTCGCCTTTAAGGATCGTCTGCTCAAGCTGCTGCGTCCGAGACACCTTGGAAACTGAACAAAAGACACCTCAACACGACTCAACACGACAACACAAACTCACCACAAACTCAACACGACTCACCACAAACTCACCAGACAGCGCGGGCCCTCTCGCCCTTGATCAGCGTCTGCTCCAGCTGCTGCGTCCGCGACGCCGCGATCAGCGGCGCGTTTAACGGCTCGCCTTCCACGTCCACCGCATGCGGCGGAGCCACCGCGATTCCCCCGCCGCGATGATGCTTCTTGTGGTGCTTTGTCGCGTGGCCCTCCCCCGAGTCGCGGATTCCACTTCCCCCTCGCGCCTGCTTCTGCGACGCGTCGTGATGCTGCTGCTGCTGCTTTTTCCCGCCTTTGGTGCGGCGGCGCGTGAAGATCCCCTGGTTCGCGAGCTTGTACCACGAGCGCATCTTTTCCTCCACCATGCTCTGAAGCGCCGCTTCCCATTGGCTGATCACCTCCACCTGTACCTGGACGGGCGGCGCGGCGGAAATGGTGTCAGACGGATCGAGCACGGCTGCCGCCGCCATGGCTGCTGCTGCTGCTGCTGCGATTCCCTCGCTCTTTTCTATGTCCACTACAACCGCCGTCACGACTGCCTTTCAGATGTTTTTGCTTTCTTGGTCAGAAAACGGCGCAGTGAAGCTAGCCACGAGCCACGAGCAACCCCCCACGGATGGTACCTCGCTCCTCCAACCTACAGCAGACCCAATCCACGCAACACCAGCAGTAGCACAAGCAGCAGGAATTTCAGCGGCTGTGGTAAATATGGAGGGCACAATGGGTGTCAGGAGGGTCTCAGAGGATGTCCCCATGCATTTGTTCATGTGTGGTGCACTAGGGGTGCGTTTGCTTTCCAAAACGGTCTGATATATTTCTACAACGGTTCAAAAAGGTACTGAGGGAAAACGAACATTGGGGACATGGCCTCGGGAACTTGCTGAACTCCAAAATGTGAAACGAGCGGCGGAGGAGAAAGATGGAGGAGCACCACACCAAACCAAGTTTCTCAGGCACCAAGCCTCCCAAATTTTAGGCCTGGAGTTAGCCACAGACCTAGGGAGCTCAGGCAGGCTGAGCCGAGCCTGATGGGTTTGTCATGGTTAACCGGGCTCGGGAGCAGGCTCGGCACGGTAAGGCGGCCTGATGACTTCATCCTCCCTCGTGTGGTTGTGGTTTGCTCGGCGGCGGCGTTGCCGAGGAGGTGATGCGGGGTGGCCCAGACTGCCCAAGAAATCTGCGCTGCCTGTGCGAGAGTAGACGGGGAACCTGCGCACCTGCTGGTTGCGGACTCGTGTGGCTGCGGGGGCTGTCGCGCGGCACGCCCAAGGGCAACGGAGGGGGACAAGGTGTCAGACTCTTCGCCAGGCCTACGCGGCGTTAGGGGGGATAAAGCGTGAACCAGGCTTGGCAGCAGGTTCGGAAGACCGCCGGTCTGGTAAGGTGAGGGCCTGCCAAAGCCAAGGCTCACACCCCAAACTTCCCCCGGCCGACAACAAGTGCCAGCTAGATCCGAATCGGTCAGGCCAATCACACACGGTGAACTCGCGTGTGGTGCAGATTATCCGGCTCTGCTGCCATAAATCTGGGGCAACATACCTTCTTATCCTGCCCAAGGTATAATTAGAAGAGGCTCTGCACCACTTGTATCCATCAAGTTTCTGAATTAATGTACTACAGTTGCAGAAAATACAAGACAAAAAGTCTCCTTCCCAAAGCTCCTTGGTGTCCGACGGAAGATTTGAACACTTTTGCGGTCCGCTTCAGGGGGGCCACAGCACAGAACCATTTCCCGCCTGCTGCTGACGTCATAATGGCAGCCAGCGGTTGTCCCTCCCCTTCCATGCACGCTCCGGCTTAGTTTTGGCGGGAGAGAGGTCCAACCTCCATGGAGTCACGACGACACGAGGCACCTGTAACAGTCCCGGTTACATTAGGAGCACTCACTCAAGGGAATCCAACCATAAACTGTAATACGTGCTATGAACGGATCTTGTGAGCATATAAGGGATGTGAAACACTACTATACAGCATAAGCGTACAAAGTAGAATGTACAAATTTCATGAAGGGGAGTGCTTGCTCTTCACAACACAGCAATCACTCCGGAGTGTTGGAATCACCAATAACCGTCTTCAAGTTCCCTGTCTCAAGCCCTGCAAGGAAAAAAGAGAAAAAGATGCAGCTCAATTCAGCACCTACCAGTACATATCGTACCATTCTCCTTGTGATCCAGCTTCCCTTCCACCTGGAAGATATCTTCTCCCTGGAAACTGAAACACGAGGAAGAGATCCTCGCTGAGTGACGGACGGATGGGACATTGCGCTAAAACGGAACGCCTGAACGCTCGATAGGTCCTGAATGAGAGTCTGATCTGAGACCCGAGGAGGGAACGCGCCGAGCTGAGAGCGCGACATGCAGGAACCATGGCCTGGGAGGGAGTGGAGTGACGTGTGATGGAAGCAGGTTTGAGGGATTTCTTCACAGGCATGTGTGCCAACTGCTGGTGGGGAATTTAGACGTATGCGAAGTTGGAGACGGGCGTGCGAACGGACGAAAAGCAAAACTGGGTGACAGCTGGATGCACACGACGCTGCAGGCGAACTCTACTGCTAGAAACTCTGAGTTCTCTCGCAAGGTGACGTTCGCGACAAGCGCGAAAGCCCATTGTTTCGCGAGTAAATTTTAGCCCGGTCGTTCACCAATCATCGCCCAGTAACCCGACTAATCCAATGCCCCATCACTCGCCCCACCAATTTAGCTCACAGGCAGACACAGCCGTGCCCTAAGTGATGGTCGCATCACACCCAGACTAAGGACAATCGGGCCAAATAAGTGATGGCATGCGATGCGCGTCGTTCCCTCCTAATCTGACTTGTGGGTAGGCAATTGAACGAGTCGACTAACCAGAAACGTGTTACCGTCCACGAGTCCGCCAGCGCATACCCTGCAAGGCCGCTTCGCCGCTTCTGGCCTTACCTCGTTCGTGCACGTGTCCGCATCCTCCGCCGCATCCTGTGGTTCCTGCGTTTGTCGAGTAGAAGCTGATCCGAACAGAACGGTGTATCCGGTTCTGTTTTCTTCTGAGGCGCCTCGAAAGTGGTCGAACAGAACGCGGTATTTTTTTCTGTTTTCTTTTTTCTCGCGTCTGACATGGCCAGCGGCAACTCAAGGCTAACTGCCTCCTTGCGAGTGGCCTGCGCTGCGCTCCTTCGCACCTTGAAACCATCCGCGGTATCAGCAGCCCCGCTATCCGTACTTCCAGATCGCCGCTTCTTCGGATCTTCAGCCGCTCACAGCGCCGCAAATACCGCCGCGCCTCCTGCCGCCGCCGCTACCGCTGGCGCTGGCGATTCCCGCCATTTCAGCAGCGCCGTAGGAGGAGCATCAGGCAGTGGCCCAGATGGTGCCACGTGTCAACTGGAGGTTTGGAGCTGGGGCCGCGGGGATTCCGGGCAGCTGGGGCACTGGGAGGAGAATCCAGAGTGGGCCCCACGGCGAATCGAATCTCTGTCCCTCGAGATCTCCGCGCTAGCTGCTGCTGGTGTTGCTGCTGCAGGCTCTGACGCAGCAGCAGCAGGGGGAGCAGCATTGGGAGTAGCGGCAAAGGCAGGAGGAGGATCAGCAGGAGAAGCACTAACAGGGCTAGCAGCCACAGGGCAAGCACGCACAGTCGCGAGCCGAAGCGCGGATCTTAGTAGACTAAAGGAGGAGCTAAGGGCGGGAGTGTCTTGTGGAATAAGCCACTCTCTCCTGTGGCTAGGTGGGAGGCTTTGGGTTTGGGGGAGAGGGGACGGGGGGAGGCTCGGGCTGGGGAACGAGCTCTCCCTCTACTTTCCAACCCTAAACCCTGATTTCTCAGGGGCAGTAGTACGGAGTGCGGCGGCTGGTGGGTTGCATTCCTTGGCAGTATCTGAGGCGGGGGAGCTGTTCACGTGGGGATATGGAGGGTTCGGGGCGCTGGGGCATGGGGAGTTCACCAGGAGGGATGTGCCCTGCCACGTGGCGCCCTCTGATTGGCTGGAGGAGGGCGTGGAGATTAAATCGGCAGCAGCGGGAGCCAGCCATACCTTGGCTTTAACTACGGCTGGCGGGGTGTATGCGTGGGGGAGGGATGAGGGGGAGGGGAGGCTGGGATGCCCGCATATAGTGGAGGCGTTAGGGGAGGAGGGGTGCGTGCCCCGGCCAATCCCGATAGATTTTCCAGCCTCCCAGGGCCTGCCACGTGGCGGGCTCTCGTTGGTCTCCTGCGGGGGGTTCTTCTCTGCTGCTGTTGACTGCGACGGCAGCGTGTGGACGTGGGGAGGTGAGGGGAGGGCTGTGTGTGTGAGGGGAGGGGAGGGGGGGTTGGGGAGCAGTGTAATTTCAGTGGGGACGAAACTGAGACAAATTACAATGCTCTTCTCTGCCGCTGTTGATTGCCACGGCGGCGTGTGGACGTGGGGAGGTGAGGGGGGAAGGGGGAGGGGACGTGTTGTTTTCTCGGCCCGTTCTCCACCCGTTCGCGTGCTGCTCGCACCAACACCTTTCCCTCCCCCCCTTACTATCCTGCCTGCCGTTCACTGCCTGGACTGGACCCTGCCCTTCGGGGAGCCACAACGGCCAACTGGGGAGGGCACAACACGTCCCTCCCCTGCCATCCTGCAGTTTTCTCTCACCCTGTCCTCCCACCCTGCCTCTCCCACCCTGCCTCTCCCACCCGGACCTTGCTTTTCAGGGAACCACAATGGCGAACTGGGGAGGGCGGCTTCAGGGCTCCATCCAGGTCGTGTCAAGACTATCACATCGCCCATTACACATGCAGCTGCTGGCGGCTTTCACACTCTTGCCGTCGATGGTGGGTGCATTTTGTTGAGATTTCATCAGATGGTGATTGCACCCCTTTGCGGTCGCTAGTATCCATTTCATGTGGATCTTGTCATCCCCGCCCCCCCCTCTGCCCCCCCCTGCCCCCCCCTGCCCCCCCCCCTTTTCTCCCCCCCCATTTCATGTGTGTCTAATCATCCCCCGCCGCCCCTCTGCCCCCACCCTTCCCCCCCCTCTCCCATCAGACGAGGGCTGCGTGTGGTCGTGGGGGCGGGGCGGCAGCGGCCAATTGGGGCAGCACTCGCTGCTGACTCAGCCCATGCCACGTGTCGTTCCAGGATTGGCTGGAGTCAAGATCGCCAGGGTGGCAGCAGGGAGTGCCTGGAGCGCTGCTGTCTCAGGTGGGTGTGGCAAGATAGCCAGGTATTTCCGCAACAGAGCCAGGAAGCATAGCAACAGAGCCAGGTAAGTTTCTACTATTCAATGTATGTGGCAAGGGCGGTGGCAAGGTCGTTGGCAAGGTCGGTGGTAAGGTCGTTGGCAAGGTCGGTGGCACTGACCCACCGATCCACCTGTACATTATGACCTTGCCAATGGACAATGGAGAGAGCCATTGTACAATGGAGAGAGCCATTGGACAATGGTGAGAGCCATTGGACAATGGAGAGAGCCATTGGACAATGTAGAGAGCCATTGGACAATGGAGAGAGCCATTGGACAATGGGGAGAGCCATTGGACAATGGAGAGAGCCATTGGACAATGGAGAGAGCCATTGGACAATGGGGAGAGCCATTGGACAATAGGGAGAGCCATTGGACAATGGAGAGAGCCATTGGACAATGGAGAGAGCCATTGGCCGATCCGTTGTACGATTTTGAGTGTATGAATGAATAAACCCCTCGTCCTCCTCTTCCACCATGCCAATCACACAACCACCACCTTCCTCATCCCCCTTCCTCCCCACCCCCCCTCCCCCCCTTCCTCTCAGAGAAAGGGCAGCTTTTTGTGTGGGGGAAGAACTCTGACGGGCAGCTTGGACTGGGAGCTGGGCAGCCTAAAATTATCGACGAGCCGTGCGAGCTTTCGCTCCCGTCACTTCCGTTACTGTCACATGAACAGGGATTACTGTCCGCAAACAATGGTGTTAAGCGCATGGTTTTAGATGTGTCTACAGGAACAAGCCACGGAGTGTGCATATGCTTGTGCGTACCTTCATAACAAAGATACACTGGTTTTCATTGTGCTGATTTCCATACAGGTACTGCAATTTCGTAGTCCCGCAACTTTCAAGGCAACGGGAAGTATCTATTTGAAGCGGAAACACTGTACACTGCAATTTCTTGCAACAAAAACATTCAGCAGATGCATGTTGACATCAATCTATTCAGCTGACTTTTGGTCACAAAATCTAGCTGTAAACTCACATCAACCTATCCAGCTCGCAAGGTGCACTTCACCACCACTAATCAGAAGCCAAGAGTACACCACTCGCCACCTCAAGGTCCATTCTGTCGCAATTTTTTAGGCGCCTCAAAACAAGGTCCATTCTGACACAATTCACCGCGCTTTCAAAAGGTCTGTCCAGCTCACCCATGCTGCTTGAAAGTTGAAACTCACTCTCTTGTTCGGTCAGCTCCTTTCCCTTGAGTTAGAGTCAGCTTTGAAGTCAACTGAAAGGAACCCTCGTGCCGGGCACCGAGGCCCATTTCACTGGGCGTTTTTCTTCAGAACGCGTGCCCGTGCCGCTTGAAACTCCTCCTCCGTAGGCTCCTTCCACTCCTCTTTCCGTTTTCCATTCCCCTTCCCCTTCCCAGACACAATTCCCACCTTTTCTCCATTCCCCCCCTTGTCCCCCTCTCCCCCCTCATCATCTCCCTTCTCCCCTCCCACCTTCCCTCCCCCCACTCTCCCCCCACCTCCCCGCCCTCCTTTCCCCCCTCCCCTCTTCCCCTCGCCCCCCTTCCCCCGTCCTCCCTTCCCCCCGTATTTGGCTGCAAGTGACTCGAAGAATTCATCATTCTCTCGAGCCCGCGTCTGTCGGTTGCGAATCAGAGCCATTAGCCCGTGGTTGTCATTGCTGTTGCTGCTGCAAGGGAGAGGCACGGGGAAAGACTCAAACAAACAGGTCTTCAGCCTCTAGAGCTCGCGCCTGTCAATTGCGAATCAGAACCATCAGCCCGTGGTTGTCTTCACTGTTGCTGCTGCTGGTGGCAAGGGCGTTTGAAGGGTGCGGCTGGGGGAGGGGTGGGGAAGACTCAAACAAACACGTCTTCAGCCTCTAGAGCTCGCGCCTGTCAATTGCGAATCAGAGCCATTAGCCCGTGGTTGTCTTCGCTGTTGCTGCTGCAAGGGAGAGGGAGAGAGGGGGGAGAGGGAGACTAATAAAAATGAGCTCTCGCCTCTAGCCGATTGCGAATCAGAGCCATTAGCCCATGGTTGTCTTCGCTGTTGCTGGTGATGGTGGCAAGGGCGTTCTAAGGAGGAGGGGGGGGGGGATGCGAAGGGGGTTGGGGGGAAGGAGGCGGGGGGAAGACTCAAACAAGTCTCTAGCCTCTTTAGAGCAATCAGAGATATTAGCGGGTAAGGGGTTGTCTCTCAGCTGTTGCTGCTGCTAGTGGCAAGGGCGTTTGAAGCGGGGAGGGGTTGTGGGGGGTGGCATGTGTGCATGCATTGGTTGGCATGGCATGTGAATGTACGTGAGATTGTGTTTGTGTGCGCACACACACACGTGTGTTTGAGAGAAAGGGGGGGAGGGTAGGGTGTGTGGGTATGAGATAGAAGCAAGAGTGAGGTACCGCTGGGAAGCAGGAGTGAGAGTACAGTGGGTTAGAGTGCAGGAGTGCATTACTTGACATCACCGGGGTTGGCCGCAGCAAGTTCCTTTGCGACTTCGCAGCCCCTTTCTTGTACCCAGAAACAAGTGTGAAGTGTGAAGTGCGAGCTGCCATCGAATCAAGCGAGCTGAAGGGCGTTACCTGGCAGCAATGGGGGGCTTTTGAGGCGCTTCTGGAAGAAGCTAAGGCGTACAAGATTGAGGCTAGGGTGGGAAGGGGGAGTTACCTGACAGCAAGGGGATCGTTTGGAGCAGGTTTCTTGGCGACTCCTACAGCCCATCTCTTGTACGCCTTAGTAGCCTTCAGCTGGTCTGCTTGTGCTTCTGGTTGTGCTTGTGCTTCTGGTTGTGCTTGTGTTTCTCTTTATCTTAGTGTTTGTGCGGTAATTGTGTTACCTGACGGCAAGGGGATCCTTCGGCGCGGGTTTCTTGGCGACTTCTGCAGCCCATCTCTTGTACGCTTTAGTGGCCTTCAGCTCGCCTGATTCGATAGCAGCATCGAGTATGCCCATGAAGCGGTGTGAGTCGATGTCCCGCGTGCAGATGTGGCACTCCAGCACCCTGAGTGGTAGAGCAGGGGCGGGGGGCGTCGGGGGTTGGGATGGATGCATATGGCTTGGCTTGTGAGTCGACTCAAAGGCAGTCGATAGCAGCATCAAATATGCCCATGAAGCGGTGCGAGTTGATGTGGCACTCCAGCACCCTGATTGGTGGAGGAGAAAAGTAATCGGAGCGGGAATATTCACAAGCAAACATGAATTTGTGGGCAAAAGAGGATACGGAGTAGAAGGGGAGGGAGGGCCAACGAAGGGCCCAAAGGCTAAGAAACCATGCGCCCTTTTTGTAAAAACATACAGCATTCCTCCTAGCCTCACATGTCCATCCGCCCCTTGAACCGCTGGTGAAGCTCCTTGAGCTCCTTAGCCCCCTGCTCCGACCCCCTGACCCCTCAAAGCACAAGGCGATACCACACATGTTCTGGGACCCCTCATAAGCCCCCCAGTTCTCACATCGCCTTTCACTCCCACTCACATGTCCATCCGCCCCTTGAACCGCTGGTGAAGCTCCTTGAGCTCCTTAGCCCCCTGCTCCGACCCCCTGACCCCTCAAAGCACAAGGCGATACCACACATGTTCTGGGTCCCCTCAAAAGCCCCCCCGTTCTCACATCGCCTTTCACTCCCACTCACATGTCCATCCGCCCCTTGAACCGCTGGTACAGCTCCTTCAACTCCTTCGCCTCCTGCTCCGACCCCCGGTACTGCCGCTCGAATGCCTCAATGTCCTCCACTGTTATCTGTGGGGAAGGGCGATGGAATGGTAAGAGGGGGATTCGGAAAGGGTGGGGGGAGGAAAAGGGTGGGGGGAGGAGCGGGAGGGGGTTGGATTTGGCACGAGTCTTAACATCCCTTCAGTTCCTTGGCCTCCTCCTCCTGCTCCTGTTCCTTAGTCCTCCTGTATGGCCGCTCGAATGGCGCATTGGCATCCACAGTCCACCACCGCAAATCCGAAGCAAAGGATGCTCTGCAGCTCAGAATGACGTCTTACCTCTCATACATGATACATGCTATTCGGAAGAGGTATGAGAGGCAAGATCTCGTACCTCTTATACAAATAAAACTTGTAAAAGACCTGTAACTGTGTCACTTGGATCGGAGACCCTACAAGGCCAAGACAAGCAAGAGGCTCAAGAGTAGGCTCTTACCTCACAAAACACTTTCCGGATAAAACGTGTAAGAGGCCTGGTATTGTGTCGCTTGGAGACCCTAAAAGGCCAAGACACGCCAGATAGGCTCAAAAGTAGGCTCTTACCTCATGGTACACGCTCCGAAAGAACTTGTGAAGGTCCGTAACTGTGTGTAATGAGTCTATTTTTTAGTCGAATAATAAATATACTCATTACAAAAGTAGGCTCTTACCTCAGAGTACACGTTCCGGAAGAACTTGTACAGGTCCGTAACCGTGTCGCCCGAGAGACCCTGCAAACACAAAACGCATGCATGACGTGTGTCACACGGATTAAAAACGCATTACAAACGCATCACACGTAAAGCTCGTGTAAGTCCTGCATGTGTAATAAACGGACGACGCAATGTGGCAAATGCAACAAAAAACGGAAAAGGAAACTAGGACAAGGAACTGATTGACTTGCGAACTTGCCCACTGCTTACTTCGACCCACTAATGTCAACCACACTCACACTCTCGTCCTCGCCATCCCCATCGCCAGTGCACCCTGTCGCATCATACAGCTTGCGCCTCTCAGCGTCCCCCAACACGGCAAACACCCGTTGCAGAGCCTGGAAGCGGTCCTTGGCAGTCTGGTGGGGGGGACGGGGGGGAAGCGGGGGAGACATCAGATAACCCAAGACGGTAAACACCCGCCGCAGCGCCTGAAAGCGATCCTTAGCGATCCAGAGGGGGGATGGAGGGAGAGGGGAGGTTGGAAGGGGTCAAGAGGGTTTGGGATGGGAAGTTCAAGGCCGATTAGCACCAGATGCAGTGCCTGGAAGCACCGTTGGCGGCCTGAAGGGGTGAGAGGTGGTAGAGGAGGAGAGGGTGGAGGCAAACCCTTCTTGTCTGGATGCCACTGAAGGGGCACGTGGCTTCATCTATCATCACATAATTCTTGCTCACGCCACCTCACCTCACCTCACCTCACCTCACCTCACCCCTCTGCCCATCTCATAGCCTGTGTTTCTGTCTAAATGCAGCCGCAGAGCCATGCGGTCTCAAGAATCTTTCACACTCCTCTCACACTTTCTCTCTCCCCTCACCTCATCTCCCGGTTTTCGTCACTTGAGTCGACTCAAAAAGTCTCTCCCCTCACCTCATCTCCCGTTTTTTGTCATTTGAGTTGACTCAAAAGTCTCTCCCCTCACCTCATCTCCCGGTTTTTGTTAGAGTGGAATCGAAGGGCCGCACAATCTAACGAAACCCTGCTTTCTCACCTCATCAATTTTTCTCACTCACTCTCTCGTCTCACCTCGTCCGCTTAGTCAACCTCATCTCCCGGGCTCTTGTCTGGATGCAGTCGAAGCGCCATGCGGTTCGTTTGCTATCTCAACTCGTCTCTCATCTCATCTCTTCCCTTGGCTCACCTCATCTCCCGGGTTCTTGTCCGGATGCAGTCGAAGCGCCATGCGGTGATACGCCTTGCGAATCTCCGCGTGCGTCGCGTCGCGATTCACTCCGAGCACCTGCGATTCGAGGGGAGGAGATACAACCACATGCGATCATTTGGCTGATTTCAAATACACGGAGAGGAAAGTCGCGATTCACTCTTAGCACCTGCGATTCGAAGAAAGGAAACGCGCGAGTTGCGTGTGTAATGAGTCGATTTTTGAGTCGACTCAAAAATCGACTCATTACACAAGGAAACGTGAGTTGCATGATGCGGTTCCACTGTACGAACAGATGACGCACGTAAGCACGCGGAATACACCCGAATTCTACTTGTAACGCGTATACCAGCATAAGATCACGCGGAAGACAGCTGTTAGCTGGAAGGAAACTATTCATTAAACAAATTGCTGGGAAAGAAAGAGAAGATACGCCATGTCGAATGAAAGGGGATGCCAGGGAAAGCCCTACCGCGTAGAGTGGAGTCGTTTTTTAGAATTCTCAAGAAGAAAAGAGGTGAAAGCGAACAGAAGGGGATGCATGGAGAAGCTTTACCGCGTAGAGATCTTTCGGATTCGCGTCATCTCCAGCCGTTGATTCCTTGCTCTTATTCGAAGCCGACGGCTCTTGACCCTCTTTCGCAAAGTCGCTCTTATTCTTAGCCGTCGGATTGTCATCCCCTTTCGCAGATTCGCTCTTATTTTTAGCCGTCGGCTCTTCAACCTCTTTCACTTTGTCATCCCCAGCAGCAGCGACGCGAGGTGCCTTACGCGTGCTTTTGAGTCGACCCGTCGGCTTCTCATCCTCTTTCGCAGAGCCGCTCTTATTCTTAACCGTGGGCTTCTCATCCTCGTTCACATAATCATCCGCGGCAGCAGCGAAGCGAGGCGACTTGCGTGTGCTCGGCTGGCCCTCCGCTCGCTGCCTTTTCTGCACCATCTCCGGATCCGCACTTAGCAAAGAAACTCGTTTAACCAACAGCGCAGCTGGTAAGCAAATTGAGCAACGCTGGTGCGGCGTATGTCCCGACTGTGCAAAGCAACTGAGTATCTGATGCAAGTAAACTGGCAACACTGCTGTCAGAGCAGTGACTATTTGCTGTGAAGCAGTAACTACACAAATTCAGTATGGTCCTAGAGTAGTTCCTACTACTCGCGTAGAACGCTCAGCCGCTGTTGTTTTTAAGCGTGTCTGCTGACAAGCAGTCCCAGTTACTCGATCCGAACAACGCTCGTTGGAAGTTCGTTAGAAGCCGCTTGCCCTAACACGCGATTCACACATTCAAGGATCCAAGTTGAACCTTTCTTTCCTCTACGCCAGGAACTCGGGACTTCGCTAGACAGTCCTGGGAACTCCAAGCCTTGAAGTTTGTCTGAGGGCATTGGGCATAGTGCGTGCTGCAGGTGCTCGCAGCTCTCTCCATGCTGTTTGATGCACCCAAGCCTTCGCCTTCTGAAGGAGGTTTGGCGGGAAAATGGTAGGAGGGAGGCGCGGACGATTTCAAAGTTCCAAATTTGAAGCTTCAGCTTGAAGCGCATTTTCTGCCTAAACATTGTCAATAATTTCAATAGCACATACATTGTTTTGGCATGATTGTTACATTTCTACCAAGGCAAGAGGATCTAGGTTGATGGTTATGGTATTAAAATGTAGGCATAAAATTCAAATCAATTAGTTACATTGATTTGATTTATCATAGATAAAATATTATCATACTGTATTTGTATTATGAAAACGAAAAACATGCCTACATGATTATGAATGGAAATGTAAGAAATCAAGGGACATTGGGCTAAAAATATAAGAAATAATGATTATCCTGGATAAAGGACTGTTTTGGAAGTAACATCAATGAGGGGATAAATGATACTGATAAATGCTCTGCACAAATTCACACTCAAAGGGTTGTATGACTTGTAAGGAAAGAAACAAAACCGTCTGGACTGTACAAGCCATGTACAGTGAGCATGTCAGCTGACCGAAACCCGCTGAACACGCATCGAGGTTGCTTCCAACATTAGCCATCCCCATCATCCACACCATCACCCCCAGCTTTCCCATCATCCCCAGACACAGCTGTACCGTACCAGATTTATTACTGATCACCCTGAACTGGACACTCAAGGTGGATGATCCATCTGTCTTCTGATCTTTCTGCTCACACAACTGCGTGATATTCTTACCTCGTGCGTTGAAGATTTCGCGCTGCGATCCGTTTTATAGGTTTTTGGAGTGTCTGCCAGGACACGGGAATTTATCGCGATTCACCAGCAAATCTCTCGTCTTTCTGAGGGACCTTGCTCTTTCTTTCTAAAGACAAGGATTTCAGCTGAAGAGTTCCTGTCAGCGAGCGGAGAGTAGCAGGATCCCTGTCAGCTGCTGCTGCTGTTGCTGCTGCTGCTGCTTCGACCATGTCGATTCATTTCAAGTTCCGATCCGCGAAGGAGTTCGATTCGCTGGCCATGGACGGCCATTTTATTTCCGTCGCGAATCTTAAGGACCGTATTATTGAGCAGAAAGGCCTTGGGATGGACTCGGATGTCCAAATTTTCGATGCGCAAACAGAGGAAGGTAGGAGATGATACCAGCACGGGGGATTGGTCCCAGTGTGCTGAGTCTTAGACTTAGTTAGGTATATTTTCTTTCATTATTTGGGTTTTGGCCGCTGGCCGATCCATACTGTTCATATGTTATTCCTTTTTTATTGAAAGAAATGGATGGGGGAAGGGTGATGGTTTTGGACGCTGAACGACTGTCTAGGGTTACATCCGCAAGAGTCTTCTCAAAGGCAGATCGTTCTTGATAAATTAGACTACCACAGTCACCACGAGACTGCCTGGGGTTAGTTCTAGGTACTCGGTGGGGTCTCCAGCTTATATTAGGTGCAGCAGCTTCGGGCGTAACGCTACTGCAGAGCCAGACAGAGCTAGGCTTTCGAAGCTGTCGATCAATCTCTGGCTGTAGCTGTTGACCCGTCTGCTGGTTGAAGCTGTGGACCAATCCAGTCCTTAGAGCCGTCAGATCCTTCTGCAGCAATCAGCCGCCGTTTTGTCAGCTGCTGCAAGCCGTCGATTTGCTTTTTGCCAGCTCGTTATTGGTAGTGGAGAGTTACGCCTTCTGTTGTCCCCCTGACTCGCGGACGACGGACAGCTTACCCAGGATAGCAGTCAGCACATAGCATGCAGCAGAACTGTCCTCGTACTGACTCGCACGCAGCACACAGCGTGACCGTGCTTCGCCACTGAGACTTGACCTTTGCAGGGTTGACAATTCAGCACCCTGTGCCATTATAAGGCAACTGCTTTTGCCATAATTTCCCCTCCCTTTCTTTTCGTGAGTCCAATCTCGTGTGGACCCCTCGTCTTTTCTGTATATGGAACTAAGAGTTTTTGCCAGTTTTTTCCAGCTTCAGATTTCTTTTTTGGGGCGGTTTTCCCCTGCATTTCATGCTTCAGCGCATGGATGCCTCAGGGCGAGTTACATTAGGGTTTCGACTTCTTAGATCGTTATCATTTTCGCTTTCTTGTTGTAGTTCACGGTGCATGTATCCATGCTAGTGCTTGGCTGCATGGGGTGCAGAGTATGGCGACGACAACCAGCCAGTACCGCGCAACACCAGCGTCATCATCAAGAGAGTTCCCAGATCAAGAGCCCGGGCAGTGCCGCAGCCTAAGCCCCAGCCGCCTGATGAGTACGCAGATCAGCTCCTATTCCCTCCACTTCTGACTGACATTGGGTCTTCTGCTAGCTTGTGTTAAAGGCCGCTATTGATAATCCATCAAGTTTTCTTGCCATACTGCAGTTTCAGAGCAGGGGGTCATACATGGCCAGGCCATGGTGCTGCCGCTGGTGCTGATACATCTGCTGCTGTGGCTCAGCCTCAGGCGCAGCAGCAGCAGGCGCCATCTTACCCGGCTTACAAGGGCTACAACCAGCAACTGGTGAGTTGTTGTACCGTGTCAGGCATATGTTTTCCTGGGCAAGTGTGCTGCCCGTGTGCTGTTGCCGGTGCTGGCACATCTGCTGCTGTGGCTCAGCCTCGGGCGCAGCAGCAGCAGGCGCCGTCTTACCTGGCTTACATGGGGCTACAACCAGCAGCTGGTGAGTTGGTGGCATTCTGAGGCGCCTCAAGATGGTGAGTTACTTACCCGGCTTTAGGCACAGCAGCAGGCACCGTCTTGCCCGGCTCACAAAGGCTACTCTACAATCAGCAGCTGGTGGGTTGGTGGCCCGGATGGTGGCACGCGGACACGCTTGGCTTGTCAGGCTTGGTTTCTGAACCTTGGGTATGCGGCCCGTTGAGTTCAGGGGTTCCATCAAACACTCATAGTCCCGGGAAAACGGTTTTCCTGTGATGTGGGCCAACTGTAGGAAATTCTCCAGTGGTTACAAAGATCCGTACCTCTGTCGTTCTTATACTCTTCGGAACCTCGTATTCTCCCCCTCCTTTTCCTCTGCGTTCCTCGTTATTGCCAACCCTATCAGAATGACATGGACGGCATGATGGATGACCTGGCAGACATCTATGGTGACGTCGGCGGACACATGTCCATGCCTGCCGCGTCAGCCGCTGCTGCCACGTCAGCAGCCCCGCCTACCAACGCCATGGGCGCGTCAGCAGGGGGGGGAGGGCAGGGAGGGGGGCAAGGGGGGATGGGGGCAGGGGGAGGGGCGCAAGGAGGGGAGATGATGGGGGGAGGCGGGGGAGTGGGGGGCAGTGCGAGCAGTGTGCAGCAGCAGGTGGACGAGGAGACACGCATGATGTCGGCCATTGTGGATCAGGCCTCTACGGACTGGCAGAGGTGAGGGCTCGGGGGTTTTCACTGGTGAGGGCTTGCTGGAAGATCCTCTGCGGCTCTGCCTGTCCTGTGACCGCCGGCACAGTAGAATGCAGTGACTGGCTTAGGTTTTGAATGCGTCCTGTTTCTATATCCCTTATTCTTACCGCTTTTTATCGTTCTATCCACCCCCTGTTTCCCTCTGCTTATCACTGCTCTTCCCCTCGTACTTGCTGCTCGTCCCCACTCTCGTTCGCGTTTCCCGCAGGCCTCCAGATCAGTATGGCGGGCGAGGTTATGGGTCGACTCAAAAGCAGACTCATCACACGCGGTTTTTACTTTGACAATACACTTATCACTGCCCTTCCCCTCGTACTTGCTGCTCGTCCCCACTCTGTGCTTCCTGCAGGCCTCCTGATCAGTTTGGCGGGCGCGGTTATGGGCGGGGTTTTTATGGCAGGGGTGGTGGTGGCGGTATGTGCAAAAAGTTGTTGCAATTTGAGTTGAGCCACACTGGCCAATCGAGCTTATGCTGGCCTTGCAGTATGGATTTTTCGTATCGAAAGGCCGATTGCGCGTTTTGAAATTGTGCATGAAATGAAAGGCTTTTGACTCAGCTTTGGCTGCTTGCAAATTGAGCTTCCATTTAGGTTGTAATTCCTCTCTTCTGGTCGTTGCTCCATTTGATTCTGTTCTGTTTCTGTGCGTGTGGCTCTCTGCACGCATGTGAATGCATGTGTGACTGCATATTTTCAGGGCGCTTTCCCTTCCCCCCACGGAACTCGGTTCCACACCCTGGTTACATATGTTTCCGCTGCAACAAGCCAGGTATGGACCGAAGGGGACTGAGCTCATTGGCTGTGTGCATGTGTTTGTAGTATGTGTGACTGTTTGATCTCGGGGCGCTTTCCCTTTCCCCCACGAAACTCGGTTACACATCCCGGTTACATATTTTTCTGTTGCAACAAGCCAGGTATGGGCAGGGCGCGCTCCCATTAGGTTACATTTGCTACCGCTGCAACAAGCCAGGTGTGGGCAGAAAAAGTGTGTTTCTAACCTGCTGCTTGTCTCTAGAAGCTGCCCCCCCCCTCCCCCCCCCTCCCCGTTTTTTTTTTTTTTTTTAATGTGACTTTTAGCCTCTTGTGTGGGAGATTTTACTCAGAAGGTATCCATTTATTTCCATTCGCTCCTCGTGCTCCCGATTCTCACCAGCTATGCCATCCCACATGGCACTCCCCCTCTAATGGAGATGCATGCAGCATTCGACATGGTGTGTGCCAGGTGCACCCCCCCTCTGGTTTTATCAGAGTCAACAATCACAAGCGTTCACCCGTTCACCCTTTCCCCCTTCCTCCCCCCCCCCGCAGGCCACTACATCAAGCACTGCTCTACCAACCAACGGAGATGCAGCCTTGATGTGGTGCGTCGGGTGCGGCGGCCCTCGGGCATTATTAGAGCCAACACTCACCAGTACTCATTCCTGTGTCCCTCTACCCTCCTCCCCAGGCCACTACATCAAGCACTGCCCCACCAAGGGCGACCCAGCCTACGACGTGGTGCGCAGGGTGCGGCCACCCTCGGGCATTCCCAAGAGCTTCCTGTGGCGGGACCAGGGAGGGAGGTACCTTATGCCGGAGTGTTTTCCGTCCCTCAACTCCTTGACCCCCTCACCCCTTACGTTTCTCCACAGGCCACTACATCAAGCACTGCCCTACTAACGGCGACCCAGCATACGACGTGGTGCGGCGGGTGCGCCCGCCCTCCGGCATCCCCAAGAGCTTCCTGCGGCCGGACCAGGGAGGGGGGTACGTCATGCCGGATGGGTCCATGGCGTCTATGGGCGGCCACGACATGCAGCAGGGCAACGAGTGAGTGTGCCTATAACTAGTACGTCATGTGGGAGTGGATGCGCAATGTCACTGTCAGTGTTGGTAGTCTCTCCATCGGTCCAGGGAGGAAGGTACCTCATGCCCGATGGGTCCATGGGTCTATGGGCGGCCACAACATGCAGCAAGGCAGCGGGTGAGTCGTGCTTGGCTGTGGCTCGTGTGATGTGGAGTGGATGGGGGGGGGTGATGGTCCGTGTGATGTGAGTAACCCCGCTAACCTGTTCCTCTTGTCCTTCTGGGGCCCCCTCTGCCATCCACCAGCCAAGCGTTAGCGAGAGAGACAGAGCCCTTCCTGCCCCCATGCGGCAGCCCCAGGCTGCAAAGATCCCCCCGGACCTCAAGTGTCCCCTCTGCTCCATCGTCTTACTTTTATCCCTCCCCCCCCCCCCCCACTCCCCCGTGTTGCTCTTCCCTTCTCCGCTTCCCTTCGTTTATCCCCCAGCCAAGCGTTTGCGAGGGAGACAGAGCCCTTCCTGGCGCCCATGCGGCAGCCCCAGGCTGTGGAAATCCCTCCGGACCTCAAGTGTCCGCTCTGCTCCAGCCTCTTCCGCAACGCTGTGCTCATCCCCTGCTGCCACCTCTCCTTCTGCGACCAGTGTAAGGCCCTTTATGCGACCACTGTGAGTAGTTTGTTACCACCGGTGTCTCTGCCTCTCGCTGCCTCTCCTTCCGCTGCCAGTGTAAGTGCTGCCTGTACGAGTGATTCTATTGCTCCGGACCGGACCTCAAGTGCCCCCTCTGCTCCAACCTGTTTTTTAATGCTGTCCTCATCCCTGTCCGCCACCTCTCCTCCTGCGCCAGTAGCGCAATCCTGCTGCTTCTCTGTCTCTCCCTCTATCTCCCCCACCTTTTTCCCTCAGGCATTTGGAAGCAGCTGCTGTCCAAGGGGTGCTTCCCCAAGTTCGTGTCCAGCCAGTGCAGGAACAACAACCTCCTGCCTAACGTGACGTCCAGACAGGCTGTAGACTGCACGAAAGCACGCCCTCACGTCTCCCCCTCCCGCCCCTCTCACTCTCCCACTCCCCCTCCCTCCTCTCTCGCCTCTCCTGTGTTTCAGGCATTCGCCAGCAGCTGCTGTCCAAGGGGTGCTGCCCCAAGTGCGCGTCCACCCAGTACAGGAATGATGATCTTCTGCCTAATGTGACGCTCAGACAGGCTGTGGATCGATTTAAAGCAGCTCAGGTGCAGCACACCCAACAGGTGCAGCCTGGTAGTCAGTCGCAGGGACAGATGCAGCAGATGCAGCCGCAGCAGCAGCAGCAGCCACAGCTGCAATACCAACAGCAGCAGCAGCCGCAGCCACAGCAGCAACAGCAACAGTGGCAGCAGCAGCAGCCGCAGCAGCAACAGCAACAGTGGCAGCAACAACAGCCGCAGCAGCAACAGCAGCAGTGGCAGCAACAGCAGCAGCCGCAGCAACAGCAACAGTGGCAGCAGCAGCAGCCGCATTATCAACAACAGCAACCGCAGCAGCAACAGCAGCAGCAGCAGCAGCAGCAGCAACAACAACAACAACAACAACAACTGCAGCAGCAGCAGCAGCCCCAACAGCAGCAGCAACGTCAGCCTCTAGGTAACAAGCAGCCCTCAGCAGCTTTTCCTGCTGCTGCTGCTGCTGCTCCTGTTCCTCCTATTTCCACTGATGCTGCTCCTATCGCTGCTGCTGCTGCAGCTGCTGCTGCAGCTGCGCCTGACGAGGAGCACAGTGCAGCATCGGGAAGTGGGAAGCCTGGCCGTTCCCCTGCTGGTCCTGCTGCTGCTGCTGCCTCGGGTGCAGCTGCCTCAGGTGCTTCCAAAGGCGCAGGTGGGAGCAAGGGTGTTAGCAGTGGCGTAGAGGAGCGTAAGGGGGGAGGCGCTACAGGGGATGGGGATGCCCAGGGCGCTGCTGATGCTGCTGATGCTGCTGGTGCTGCTGATGCTGCTGGTGCTGGTGGTGCTGGTGGTGCTGGTGGTGCTGGTGGTGGTGAGCCAAATGCTGAGCAGGGGGGGGGTGGGGAAGGGGAAGGGGCGGTAGCAGGGGATGGGGAGGGGAAAGGGGAGAAGGATGAGGAGGAGAGGCAGCGAGGAGTGGAAGAGGCGGAGGAGGAAGAGGAGGTGAGTGATGGGGTGACAGGCCCTCCTAGCACCTCGCAACCTGCTACTCAAGGCGATGCTACTGGTGCTCGTGCTACTGCTGGTGATGCTGCTGCTGCTGCTGCTGCTGCAGATGGCGGTGGTGGTAGTGATGGTGGTGCTGCTTCTGCGGATGCTGCGGCTCTTGGTACGGTCGGCACACCAGAGGTTGACAATACCGGTGGTGCTTATGCTGAGGGAGATGGGGAGGTGACTGGAGGAGCGGGGGGGGAAGGAGGGGAAGGAGAAGGGGATGCGGTAGAGGGGGAAGTGGAAGGTGGGGGGGAAGGAGAGGAAGGGGGAGAGGGCGGAGGTGAGGGAGGAGGGGAAGGAGGGGAAGGGGGAGAGGGCGGAGGAGAAGGAGGAGGGGAAGGAGGGGAAGGGGGAGGGGAAGGGAAGGCTGGCAAAATGGAGAAGGAAAAGAAGGTTAAGGGAAAGAAGAAGAAGAAAAAACTTAAGCAGCAGAAACAGCAGGAGCAGAAGGAGCAGCAAGAGCAGGAGCAGCAGGAACAGCAGCAGCAGCATGTGGATGGGCAAATGGGTTCACAAATGGGCCAAACGGGTGCAATGGGGCACATGGGGCACATGGGGCACATGGGTGGTGGGCAGATGGGTCCACACATGGGAGGCCCTATGGTTGGGAACATGGGGGGAAACATGGGGGGAAACATGGGGGGAAACATGGGGGGAGGGCCTATGGGGGGACCTATGGGGGGGAATATGGGGGGAAACATGGGGGAAGGGCCTATGGGCGGACCTATTGGCATGGGGATGGGTCCAGATATGGGAGGCATGGGGGGAGGCATGGGAGGAGGCATGGGGGGAGGCATGGGGGGAGGCTTGGGGGGAGGCATGGGGGGAGGTATGGGTGGAGGGATGGGGGGAGGCATGGGCCCTGGGATGGGTGGGGGGATGGGTCCTATGGGCGGGCCTATGGGCGGAATGGGCGGACCTATGGGCGGGCCTATGGGGGGGCCTATGGGGGGGCCTATGGGGGGCCCTATGGGGGGGGGAGGGATGGGGGGGCCAATGGGCGGAGGGATGGGGGGTGGTATGGGGCCTATGGGGCCTATGGGGCCTATGGGTGGTCCACATATGGGCCCCATGGGACCGATGGGAGGTCCGCCACCGTTTCACAACCAGCAGCATAACTGGCACGGCGGTGGTGAGTCCGCCTTCTTTTCAAGTCCGCCTTCTTTTCAACTCCGCCTTCTTTTCAAGTCCCATTTTTCTGCGTCAGCAGCACTTGGTCCCCTCCCCCTTCCTCACCCTCGGCCATTGTCCGTCCTTCCTCCCTTTTCTGTCCGTTTTCCTGCACTCTCTCCTCCCTCTCTCCCCCCACTCACACCTCTCTCCCCGCTCTGTCCCCTCTGTCCTCTCTCTTCTCTATGTGTGTGTGTGTATATGTGTGCATGGGATCAGATCACTCAGAGCAGCATGGCATGGGCGGAGGCAAGAAAAAGGTGCGTGGTTTTATCTCCTTTGTAGGACAGTCCCTTTGCGCATACAACATGTTATCATGCTACGTTGAGAGCATGGGAGCATGGGAGCATGGGAATAGATCACACAGAGCAGCATGGCATGTTCGGAGGCAAGAAACAGGTGCGTGTTTTTATCCCCTTTATAGGGCACGTTAGCATACCGCATACAGCATGTTAGCATGCGCGCGTATCGCATGTGAGCATGCCACCATGGGATCAGATCACTCGGAGCAGCATGGCATGACATGGATGGAGGCAAGAAAAAGGTGTGTGGTTTCATCCCCTTTATAGGGCATTCCCTTTGCGCATACCGCATGTTATCATGCCACGTTGAGAGCATGGGAGCATGGGAGCATGGGGGCATGGGAGCATGGGATCAGATCTCTCAGAGCATCATGGCATGGACCGAGCATGCCACACATGCGGGGCCAAGGACCACATGATACAAGAGTGCCGCCAGAACCACATGGGCGGGAGAGTGTACCTTCCATCACCCCTCTTGATTCCCTCATTTTTCCCCCTTATCTTTCCCCACCTCTCGTCCTCTCCTCAGGACCGAGCGTGCTACACATGCGGAGCCAAGGACCACATGATGCGGGAATGCCCTCAGAACCACATGGGCGGGGGAATGGGCGGCGGGATGGGTGGAGGAATGGGCAACATGGGAGGGGGCATGGGCATGGGTGGTGGAGGCATGGGCATGGGCATGGGTGGTGGTGGGAACTTTGGTGGTCCGTTTCCCAACCAACCTGGCATGTTCCCCGGCTCAGGTATGTGGCTTGCGGGCTCAGGTATCTGGCTTGCGGGCTCAAGGTGGTCTAATCAGCTGTACACTCTTCCCCGCCACGTCACCTCTCTCACTCTCTCACTCTCTCTCCCCTTCTCCCCCCTCCCTTCCCCCTCCCCACCCTTCCTCCTTCAACCCCCTGCTCGTGCTGTCTCGTTCTCTGCACCGTCCCTCCCTCCGTTTCATCCTCCCTGCTCCCCTCCTACCTCGTTCACAACTCTACACAAGTAAAAACCTCTTCCGCCCCTTATTGTTTTTTCGAGCTGGCTCAAGGAGCGAGTTCACACTCCGTGTGATAGAAGTCTCGTTTTGAGGCGCCTCAGAATGAGTGAAAGCTCTCCCCTCTCTCCCCTCCCTCCGGTCCCCTCCCCTCCCAACCCCCCCTCCCCCCCATCGCCCCCGTTGCAGACGTTGGCTGGAGCCAAGGCATGGGGCCGATATGGGCGCAGATATTAGCTGGGGCGTTTTCACACCCTGCGCCTCTCTCTCCTCTCTCCCCCTTCGCTCCCCTCCCCCCCATCACACCCATTGCAGAGGTTGGCTGGAGCCAAGGCATGGGGCCGAATATGGGTGCGGATTTCCCCATGGGACCTGGCTTTGGTGGCGGGGGAGGCATGGGCGGGCCCATGGGCGGAGGCATGGGCGGAGGCATGGGGGGAGGCATGGGGGGAGGCATGGGGATGGGGGGAGATATGGGTGGGGGAATGGGGGGAGATATGGCCGGGCCTGGCATGGGCATGGGAGGTCCGGGGATGGGGATGGGGATGGGAGGTGGCATGGGTATGGGACCCATGGGTCCTGGGATGGGGGGAGGAATGGGCATGGGGCAGGGGATGGGGCAGGGATTCGAGGGAGGGGGAGGGCACCCGCAATTTGGTCCCGATGGGTGAGTGTCTCTGTGGATGATTCATGTTCTATTCAAACCCCATCCATTTTTTCGTCGACTCAAAAGCAGAGTCTGCTAAACACGATCGATTCGTGTCTTCAAACCCTGTGCCGTTTGCTCATCAGTATGGCGCTATTAGTTTCTTTGCCCGCTCTCGCTGCACTTACACTTGTGCAAGGAAGGAGCCTGTTTTTTTAGGCGCCTCAAAAATAGACCCTGTGCCATTTGCTTATCAGTATGGCGCTATTTATTTCTTTGCCCGCTCTCACTGCACTTGCGCTTGCGCTTGCCCTCACTCGCTTTTGTTGCTCTCCCTCTTTCCTCCCCTTTCCCCTTCTCTCTCCTCCCACCTCAATTGATCCTACCTCCCCTTCTCTCCCCCTTCTCTTCCCTCCCTCACTCCCTTCCCCCCTCTGTCGCCCTCCCCCCCTCTGTCGCCCTCCCCCCCTCTGTCGCCCTCCCCCCCTCTGTCGCCCTCCCCCTCCCCGTTTCCCCCCTCACCCCCCCCCGCCGAGTGATTGCAGGGGCCCAGGGCCTTTTGGGCGTGGAGGGGGGGGGAGGGGGAGGGGCGGAAGGTTTGGGGGTAGGGGGGGACGAGGCAGGGGAGGAGGGGGAAGGATGGGGTTTTCCGACAGGGGGGGCAGGGGGGAGAGATTTGAGAGGGGGGAGCGAGGCGAGAGGGGGGAGAGGGGCGAGAAGTGGGGGAGAAAGGAGCGAGGAGAGGGAGGGGAGTGGAGGGGGAGAGGTGAGAGGGACGAGAGGGGGGAGAAGGGAGAGGAGAGAAGAGGCAGTGGGGGAGGGACGAGAGAGAGGACGACGAGTGGGGTAGTGAGGGAAGGGAGGAGGGGAGGGGGGAGCGAACAGGCAGTGTGCAGCGAAACACTCCTCCAGTGCAGCAGGGGTCTGGAGGGGAGAGCAGGGAGAGAGGGGGGAGGAGAAGCGGGGAGAGGAGCAGGGGAAGCAAGGAGAGGAGCAGGGAGAGGAGTAGGGAGAGAGGGGAGGATGGGAGGCCTTATCTCTCCCCCCAAGGGGAGGAGGAGGCAGCGGATGGGGACGAAGCGGGGAGGATGAGAAGGAAAAGACCCATTGGGGAAAGGTGAGAATTTATGGGTCTTCTCACAGGTCACTTTTGAGTCGACTGAACGGTCTTCTCACGGGTTACTTTTGAGTCAACTCAAAGGTCTTCTCATGGGTCACTTTTGAGTCGACTCAAAGGTCTTCTCCTGGGTCACTTTTGAGTCGACTCAAAGGTCTTCACATGGGTCACTTTTGAGTCGACTCAAAGGTCTTCTCATGGGTCACTTTTGAGTCGACTCAACGGTCTTCTCATGGGTCACTTTTGAGTCGACTCAACGGTCTTCTCATGGGTCACTTTTGAGTCGACTCAAAGGTCTTCTCATGGGTCACTTTTGAGTCGACTCAACGGTCTTCTCATGGGTCACTTTTGAGTCGACTCAACGGTCTTCTCATGGGTCACTTTTGAGTCGACTCAACAGTCTTCTCATGGGTCACTTTTGAGTTGACTCAACGGTCTTCTCACAGAACGGCCAGGAGGAGCAGGAATGATAGAAGCAAAGAATGCCAGGAGGAGCAGGAATCATATAAGCAAAGAATAGTTCATTGAGCCCATCTGTCTCATACTCATTGCTTTCATTTCTGTTCCTTACCTCCATCCTTATGAAGGAAGTAGCTTAGAGGAGAAAGAATTGAATTGAGTAGGGAACCAAGAGGCTCTATTGTACAAAGCAAGGAGCAAGGAGGGAAGCTCTCCTATTGGCCATAAAGTGGACCAATGGGAGAGGTTGCTTGTAGGGCAAGCAACCACTAAGTGTGGTGCTCTTCGATTGGCCACAATGTGGACCAATGGGAGAGGTTGCTTGGAAGGCAAGTAACCACTAAGTGTGGTGCTTAGTGATTGGTTGGTTCTTAGGACCAAGGACCATTTGGTTGGAATAGTGTCAAATGTGGGGTTGGTCAAGACTAAATCCAATCTTGACCAACCCAAATGTGGGGTTGGTCAACCCAACCAACAACCCCCCAATAATTATAATGACTGACTACACCTCCTAATCTAGGCATGCATGTTGTTGTATAGATATATATTTTACACCACCTTACCTCCATCCTTACCTCCATCCTTACCTCCATCCTTACCTCCATCCTTACCTCCATCCTTACCTCCATCCTTACCTCCATCCTTACCCCTATTCCCTATACTTGTTTCCGTTTTCCTACTGTTGGCTTCATTTTTGTTCACCCCTTTGATTTTACAGTTCCTAGTTCAAATTCCCTATTCCCTATTCCCCATTCCCTATTCCCTATTCCCTATTCCCTATTCCCTATTCCCTATTCCCTATTCCCTATTCCCTATTCCCTATGCCCTATTCCCTACTCCCTTCCCTGGCAGGCTCAACTTCAGTTCAGCCAGGGAGGATGATGAGGCTGATGAGGGAGGCAGCGATTTCCAGGTGAGGCGGGACGTGGCTTTCAGCAGTTCTCCGCAGGGAAGTCGGTTCAAAGCACCGCAATGGCCATGTGTAACGTCCCCCTTTGCCCCATCCTCTAAATCCTTTGTCCAACCTCCATGTCATTTGCCCACCCTCTAGATCCTTTGCTCACTCTCTAAATCAATTGCCCATCCTCTAAATCCTTTGCTCACTCTCTAAATCAATTGCCCATCCTCTAAATCCTTTGCTCACTCTAAATCAATTGCCCATCCTCTAAATCCTTTGCTCACTCTCTTAATCCTTTGCCTACCCTCCAAATCCTGTCTTTCCTTCTCTAGTTCACAGAATTACGCGAGCCATATGTTACTTCGTCCTTTACCCACCGTCTGATCCATGTCACACGGGCCACGAATCACTTCGTCATTTGCCCACCCCGTTAAACCCGCTCCCCGCTTCTCACCCTGTAAAGCCTATATTTCCTCTTGTTATTCCCCAATCTTTCTCGGCAGAAACGGTTGGATCGGCGGGGGCAGGGAGAAAGGGAGGGAAGCAGGGGGTGGAGGGGAGAGGGGGGGGATGGGGAGTGGGAGGGGAGAGGAGGACGGGGGCGAGGGGGCAGGGGTGGAAGAGGTGGGGGATACAGGGGAAGGGGGGGATCGCCTGGGAGGTGGGATGGGGATGATGATGATTGGGGGAGTGCAGAGGAAGGGAGCGCTGCAGTGGGTAATAGGGGTCGGGGGTTTGGAGGCAGGGACGATATAGGGGGGAGGGTAGGCAAGGGGAAATACAGGTATAGAGGGGAGAGTGAGGGAGAGGAGGAGGAGGTGGAAGCGAGAGGGCGGTTCAGGTCTTCTAAGGAGTATGATTCTAACGAGGATGATGAGGAAGGGGGTGGGAGGAGACGACACAGGTTCAAAGAGCGAGAAGAGGAGGACGAAAGGCAGGAAGGGAGACGGTTGCAGAAGGAGGGGAGGCGAGATGATGGGCATGGTGATACTGACAATGGGGACAACGGAAGGGGGCATAAAAGGGGCTTTAGCCTGAGGAAAGAAAGCATGGATGATGGAGGGATGGGGGAAAGAGGAGGAGCACGAGGGGAGGAGAGGAAGAGAAGAGGCCGAAGCAAGGAGATGAGAGGGAGGGAGTGGGAGGAGGACGGTGATGGTGCTGCTGATGTTGACCCATCACCCCCGGCTCATCCCTTATCCGTCTTTGAAGGCGCTCATGGTGGTGGGGAGATGGGCGGAAGTGGTGGCAAGTACGAGAAGAAAAGGAAGTTGAAAAGGTCCCGGAAAGATGAGAATGGTGGTGGTGGCCTTAGGATATACGCTGGAGGATGTGATAATGATGATGGTGGATATGGGGATGGCAATACTGGGGATGAGAACGATCGATGGCCATTAGAGCATGGTAATTGAGTTGAGAGGCGTTTTCCATGTTAGTAGATGGTGATCATTGTTGGGCTGAGAAAAGCCCTTAGGATCTTTCCAGAGACTAAGTCCAGTTGTAAAATGAGACTTGAGTAGTGCAGCGGAAGTTGAGTAGTTGAACCCTTGTACTAGTATATGAGGACAAGTGATTGATTAAAGGAACAAGCATACAGCAATATATAGAAAGTAGGAAGGTAAAGCAGTTGTAGAATACAGTTGAAAGTGCGGTTATCGAGTCGCACATCGACTCGATTGTCGCTTCGGTTACCATCTTTGCAGTTGTAACTGTCAGTCGCAACCTCCAGTTGCGGCCCTTCGAGTCCTTTCGTGTTCTTTGTCCACCCCCTCGTGTAACCTCCGTTGACTCGCGTACCCGTTACGACCTTCCTCGAGTGTGGTGTTACACTTCAGAAACGCTTAAGTCCTTGAGGTATTTCCAACACTCCCCTTCGTTTCTGGAGTGCTGACATGTCCAGATCCGGTGACGTTTGTCTTCCCGATCAGCAGCATGCAGTAATCGAGCTTTGCCTTCGCCAGTTTCTTCGTCAGATAGTATGCGGCCATTTTTGTCGTAGGGCAGTAACTGAGTTGAAGTCTCCCCTTCGCGATTTCATCATTGACGAAGAAGTATCGCAGGGCGATGTGCTTGGTTCGGTTGGCGAAGCCGTCCTTGTTCGCGATTTTGATCGCAGATTGGTTGTCGCAGAGGAGTGAGAAGGCGGGCAGGGTCGCAATCTTTGCTTCCTCAAGTAACTCTTGCAGGTAAAGTCCTTCCTTGGTCGCAGTGCAGAGGGCGATATATTCTGCTTCAGCCGAAGATAGTGCGATTAGTTCCTGTTTGCTCGACTGCCAGGAGATAGTCCCGATAGGCTCTAGTCGGTAGATGTAGCCCGTTCTCGAGCAACGATTTTCCCTGTCTCCCGCGTGGTCGGCGTCGACGTACCCGAGTAGTTGTACGGATGATGTTGTTTCTTTACTGTAGATAAGTCCGGTTGTTGGCGTAGAGACGAAGTAGAGTAGTGCCCGATTAAGTTCCTCGATATCTTCTTGTTCCGGCTGCTTCAGATGCGTCGCCAGTTGACTCGCGCTGTAGGATAGGTCAGATCGACAGGTTACTGCTGCGAATAGTAGGCATCCAAGCTTCTGCTGATACTCCTGGATTCGCTTCGCGGGGAGTTTTGCGGAGGTGTTGTTGTTGTTCCCGTAGCGGTAGGGAGTCGTGACTGTAGTCGGTATTAGTTCGAATTTCTTCGCGAAAACGCCTGCGTACTTTCCAGCGTGTAGGTAGAACGCCGAGTTGTCTTCGACGACGTTTAGACCCAAGTACTGGGTCACGGTTTTAGACACTGTGAGTGTCAAGTCACTTCTCAGCTCCCCTTCGAACCAGGTGGCGATGTCGGTAGTGGAGCCGATGTAGAGCAGGTCGTCGACGTAGACGATGAGTAGGATAAATTCCCTTTCTTTTTGTAGTCGGTACATGCCTTGGTCGTGCGGCAGCTGTAGGAATCCGATTCTGACGACGCGACTGTGAAGATGCTGCTGCCAAAGCCGCGAGGTTTGCTTGATCCCGTAAAGAGATTTTATCAGCTGGCACACTTTTGTGGGGTCGTCGATGAATCCGTGGGGCTGCTCGACTAAGATCTCGGCGTCTACAGATGCGTACAGGAAGGCATTTGTGACGTCGATCTGGCGCAGTGGTAGTTTCTTCGTGGCCGCGACGGCGAGTAGAATGCGCAAGGAGGTGTGACGGGAGACTGGGGCGAATGTTTCTGTGTAGCCAGTTCCGTATCGTTGATCGAATCCTCGTACGACCGAGCGAGCTTTGAATCGTTCGATGGAGCCGTCCACATTGGTCTTGATGCGGTATACCCATTTTCCCGAGAGAACGTTCTTCCCGTTGATGTTCGTTGCAGGTACCAGCTTCCATGTATTTCGGTCTTGCAGAGCTTTCAGTTCCTTTTCCATTGCCTCCTTCCATTTCGCCTTGTGTTCCCCCCCCAGAGCCTGCGACAGAGTCGTTGGCTCTCGCAGAGATGGCGGCGGCGGATGCTGGACGGAGACCCATAAGCCGAGTATCTGCAGTCCCGTGGGTGTGTGTCGAGGGGAATTTTCATTCCCCGAATAGGCTGCTTCGTCACCATCTTCTGAATCAGGTAAGAAGTTCGGGCCGATGCGTTCTGAGACATTTGTGTCGACCGGGTGAGGTGTAACGTAACCTTGGTCAGCGAAGTGGTAAAGGGTGTCGAGGTTGTTGCTATCGAGGGGATTGTCTTCGTCGAGTGGAACAGGCACGGAACAGTAAGGGAGTGGTCCGGCAGCTTCCAAAGCTCCAGGTACGTCTTCTTCTGCTGCGTCAGCCTCGGCAGCACGGTCGGCGAAGGAGCGATGGCCTGCGAAGCCGTCGGTGGGGTCGTCTGTGTTGGCGACGTTGTCCAGGTAATGCTGCAGTGTCAGTCGTTTGTAGAAGATCACATCACGTGATGCCACTGTATTTTTGTCCTGTATGTCGAGGAGTTTCCAGGCTTGGAAATGTTTGGCGATGCAGAGGTGTAGTCCCCACCTTGCTCGTTGAGTGAAGCGTCCTGCTCGGGCTGTGTGGGGTCTGTACTGTACCATGCAGCCGAAAACCCGAAGTAATTTTGCGCTGCCCCTTTTTCGTGTCCACAGCAGGTGCGGTGATGCGTTGTTGGGAAGCGAGGACGGGGATAACAAATTGTGCAGGTGGACTGCATGGGTCATCGCGTCTGGCCACAGTGCTTTGGGCAGTCTCATCCCTAGGAGCAGCTTCCGCATCGTCGTCTGCAAGGTCCGGTTCATTCTTTCTGCGACCCCCTGCTGCTGGTGAGCGTAGGGCAGAGACACCAGTCGTCTGATTCCTCTTTCCGCCAAGTAGTTCCTGAAGCGTTGTGACTGGTATTCGAGTGCGCCGTCTGACTAGAAGCTCTTGAGCTTCGTTCCTGATTCTCGTTCAGCGATGGGGAGCCACGTCGTGAAGGCTTCGAAAGCTTGATCGCGCGTCTTGAAGTTGTAGTGCCATACATATCTTGTTGCTGCATCGATGAACGTGATGACATAGTTGAAGTCGGCTTCAGTGTCGTCTCGAGGCATGTTTAAGATGTCGCTGTAAACCTTTTCCATCGGTGCGTATGCAGGTGCACTTGGATTGTGATGTGATGGAAAAGGTTGGTGGGGAAGATCTGCTTCGGGGCACATGAAGCACCGTGCGCGAGGTCGTCGAAGTTCTTGGCCGCTTGTCGTAAGAAGAGCGTTTCGTTCTAACACTTCGGCTTGGATGGTTGGTAGTACCGTGCTGTTTGCAGGATGTCCAAGGCGTTGGTGCCAGATGTCGTCGGAGGCGCGATGGCCGGGCGAGCGTTGGTACATGTCGGTATTGGAGAAGAACGCGACGACCGTGGCGGGACTTCGGCAGACTTCTCGTGTGATGGGCATAAGTTGATCTGCTTCGGTTGGTGGTCCTCGGATTGCTGGTGATGGTACTCGGCTGGGTCCTGCTGCTGTTACTTCAGGTGATGTCGAGGAAGGAACGCTTGCTGATACTTGTCTTTCTTGTCGAATAACTGCTAACGCTCGTGTTCTCTCTGCCGCAGGTATGGTGTTGGAGTACCAGAATCCATCTGGGGTGAAGTCGGGGTCAAGGTCCGGCGGGTGCGTCCAGGCGGCGAACGACACCATGCCATCGCTGTCGGCGGTGCCGTGGTCCGGGACGAAATCCAACACGAAGACGCCTGACTTCAGGAGAGCGCGACCGATGAAGAGACCGCCCTTCCCGTGGTAAAGGCGAAATTCGTTGGAGTCCGAGTCGCACTCCAGGTGAATTCCTTTTGCCATTAACTGGCTGACGCTGAGTAAGTTGTATCCCAAATTGTCGACGATGAGGACTTTGTTGAGTTGTAGTATGACGTTCGTCTCCATTGACTGAAGTTGAACGACGCCTTGTCTGTTTGTTTTCAGGTTCTCGTTGTTGGCGACGGTGATGATGACATCGCGGTTGAGGCGTCGCTCTCGCTGCACGAAGCGCCCGGAAGAACACATGTGTTGACCGCAGCAGCTATCCAAGAACCAGGTGTTCCGCCCGGTGGGTTCGGCGTTGGCGACAGCAGCATATGTCGGATTAACCTGAAGTCCTTGTGAGCGCGGCGGCGGCAGTTCTTCCTCGTCTGGAGCGTAAGTGGGTGGTGAGCCGGGTGCGCAGTTGTCGATGTGGACCATGCAATTGATGATGTTTGGTGTGCCTTGTGCAGATAAGGAGGGACGCCTCGGCGAGCTTTCTTGAGTGGAGGCGACTTGTGGATCTACTGGGCGATAAGCTCGTGGGCGTGTGCAGTTGACTCTGGAGTGTCCAGATGTTTGACAATTGTGACAGAACGGCGGCACAATGGTGAGTCCTCTGTTGTCGCGTTGATCTTGCTTGCTGCGTCGGTTGTAGTTGTTATCGTTCCTCCGTTGAGTGTAGAAGACTAACGATTGCTGCTTCCTTGGTTGTCTTTCTTCAAACAGATCCATCTCTTGTTGTTCAGCATGGAGCTCGGCGCAGAGGTGCATCTCCGAGATTCGTCCGTGGGCGCGAAGAAGCGAGCGGGTGGTTCTCCATTCTGGCCCGAGCCCAACGAGGACAAGCGTCACGAAGCTTTCTTCAGTGATTGTTCCTCCGCACCGAAGCAGGCGATCGCGGAGTGTCTGGCATCGACTCATATACTGCATCGCCTTTTCCCCGGTCTTCATCTGTATTGTTGTCAGTTGTTGCATGAGTCTGCTTTGTGTCACGCTGTCGTTTGCTTGATAGAGACACTTGAGGTGATGCCATGCGAGTTCCGCGGAGTTTCCATAGCTCCGATACGTTCTGATGCTTTGCTGTTCTTGTGGTGACAGGTTCCGCAGGAGGACTGTGTACGCCAGGAGCGACTGATATGTAAAAAATTCTTACTCTTTCGCAGTGCCATTGCTTGGAAATGGCAGGGACCCGTTGAAGTATCCCAAGAGATGCGCAGCCTCCATCAGCAGCTCGAACTCAAAGCTCCAGGTAAAGAAGTCGTGTCCGTTGAACGGTGAGGATGTCTGCAGTTTGATCACGTGTGAAAACTGCGCCTGGAGACTAAGTATCTCGTTTGGTGTCTGTTGTGATGCAGCTGCTGTTGGTTGGGCACGGGGCGGCATGAACTCGAACGTCCCCGGTGAAGAGTGATAAGGCGCAAAGGTAGGCGCTTGATTGTGTCGCCCGAACGATGAGTTGTCGAGGCTCATCGGCGCTAATCCCATGTATCCTCTGTTGCTCTGTGTTGAATGTGCAGGTTTCCTTGTCTGCTGCTGCTGGTCGAAGTGTGACATGAAGCTGAAGATCCTTTCCATAAGGTTCGGGTCGACGCTTGAAGAGGGTGATGGGGTCACCATTTCGGGTGCTCTTCTTCTTGTTTCTTGAGCAGCACCAGTCTCGGATTGCAGTCCTGAAGTGTGTAATCCAGAGTTGCCGGGTTGGGTGTCTTGGGCGCTGGGTGAGCCCGTAGAGGTCTTCTTGCCTTTGTTTTCCATGACTTGTAATCAATGAAGTTTGTTGAGGTGTTGACTGTAGATAGACGTTGTTGCTGGGAGTTTGGTCTCTGACCAGCTCTCATACCATGTTGGGCTGAGAAAAGCCCTTAGGATCTTTCCAGAGACTAAGTCCAGTTGTAAAATGAGACTTGAGTAGTGCAGCGGAAGTTGAGTAGTTGAACCCTTGTACTAGTATATGAGAACAAGTGATTGATTAAAGGAACAAGCATACAACAATATATAGAAAGTAGGAAGGTAAAACAGTTGTAGAATACAGTTGAAAGAGCGGTTATCGAGTCGCACAGCGACTCGATTGTCGGTTCGGTTACCATCTTTGCAGTTGTAACTGTCAGTCGCAACCTCCAGTTGCGACCCTTCGAGTCCTTTCGTGTTCTTTGTCCACCCCCTCGTGTAACCTCCGTTGACTCGCGTACCCGTTACGACCTTCCTCGAGTGTGGTGTTACACTTCAGAAACGCTTAAGTCCTTGAGGTATTTCCAACAATAATGGTGCGAATGAGAATTACTAGTGGCTGCTGAGCAATGAGTACACTGTTCATGTGCTAAATTGGTACATGTATTCTGAATATTGGTAGTACATTAGTTTGCTTTAGGGTTTGTCAGAAACCCAGTCACTAACCACTGGGTTAAAAGGGCTTGTTGAATAGCGGGTAAGTGCGCCCATAGCCCCCCAGGCTCTGCACCTGTGGCCCTTCCCCGAGGATCTCAAGGGCAACCCCAGCGGGTCACTCAACACCCCCCCCCCCGCTGGGTTAGGTGGAAGACACAAGCGCCTCTGCAGCGCTGGCACTGGGAGTTGAACCCAAGACCTTTGGCTCTGATACCATGTCAGAAACCCAGTCACTAACCACTGGGTTAAAAGGGCTTGTTGAATAGCGGGTAAGTGCGCCCATAGCCCCCCAGGCTCTGCACCTGTGGCCCTTCCCCGAGGATCTCAAGGGCAACCCCAGCGGGTCACTCAACAGGGTTCCCCATGTCCATGCTTGCTTGCTGTGGAGTAGTAGACGATCCGTCTAAAGATGTGCTTATCACACTGTACGCAGCTACTCCATAGCTAACTTAGGGTAATCTACATTCTCACAAGCTCCTACAGTATAGATCGCATCCAATAGGTTCACTTCACATGTAACAAAAAAGGTTTCATTCCAAGCTGCTGTTACAATTCCTTAGGACGCAACCGTTACAAATCGAAGTCCCACCCATCATCTTCCTCCCCTCCACTGCTCTTCCCCTTGGCGACGACCAGCTTGCTCGTCTGCTTTTTCTTGGCTGAAGCCCCACCCTTACTGGCACCTCCCTTCCCGCCCTTCTTGCTGCCTGACGCACTCCCCCCAAACCCTAGAGAGGATCCCAGCTCCCCCCATCCAATGTCCTCTTCCTCCTCCCCATTCTCTTCCTCGTCTAGCCATCCTGTTCTGGCAGGCTTCTTGCTGCTCGTACTGCCGCTGTTAGTGCTGGTAACACCGCTGCTACTGACGCCGGTAACCGCACTGGTAACACCGATGCCATCACCGATTCCTGCAGTAACAGGAGCAGGAGCAGCAGAAACAAAAGCAGCAGCAGTGGCAGTAGCAGCGACTGGGCTGACAGTCTGCTTTACAATCAAAGGCTTGCCACTGCTGCTGCCACTGCCACTGCCGCCACCAGCAGCAGCACCAAAGGGAGATTTAGCCCCTCCACCCAGCTTCAACGAACTACTAGTAGGCGATCGAACCTCGACCTCCATTGCACTCCTCCCTCCTCCTCCTCCTCCCTTCTCCCTCCCTGCCCTCTCCCAATCATCATCCCCCCCCTCCTCCTCGTCCCAATCCCACTGCCCGTCCGACGCCCTACCCCCGCTCGCACCCCCCTTGCTTCCAAACCCCGTCCCCATATCCACCTCCCCCCCCGCCACGCTTTCATAAGACGGCCCCTCCCCGTGCCTCGCCCCGCCCTTGCAGCAGCAGCAGCAGGCGATGAGGCAGACCAAGGAGACGAGGACCGCGAGGGTAAATCCCCCTAGCACGAGGTAAACTGCGACAGTTTCCGCGTTTGCTTCGCCGACAAAGGGGTAGATGGTGGTCATTGTGGTGATGATGAGGGGCTTTAAGAGCTGAATGAGGGCTCGCTCGATGGTCAGGTAGAGAGAACCACCGCTGCTGCTGCTGGGAGGACTGGTGTTGCTGCTGCTGGGGGGGATGGTGGTTCCAGGTGTGGTACTCGGGTTACCAGAAGGCGGCCCTTGGGCCTCACTCTTTCCACCAGCAGCACCACCACCAGCACCACCAGCAGCACCACCACCAGCAGCACCACCAGCACCACCACCAGCACCACCCCCTTCCCCACCAAACGCTGCCTCTCCCCCTGCCTCGTCCGCCCCCCCTTTTCCCTTCCCCTCCGCCCATGGCTGGTCATCCACTGCCGCTGCCTCGTCCTCCTCCCCACCCCCCTCTCCAACCGCTTCCCCCCCACCCTCCCCACCACCCTCCCCTGCACCCTTTCCTGAGATCTCTCCTGCAACCCCCCCTAGACGACCATCCCCTTCCTCCTCCAATGCTGGCTGCTCTATGGGCTTGCCTACCGCCTCCCCTGCCCCTTCCCCACCTATACTCCCCTCCCCCTCTCCTCCCGCCTCTGCCCTCGCCTCCGCGCCTCGCTCTGCTGCTGTCTTGCGCGTGCTCCCAATCCCAGTACCTGCTAACCCGCCTGCTGCTTCTGCTGCTGCGTCTGCTGCTGCTGCGTCGGCTGCACTTGCCTTCCCTGCTGCAGCTTTCCCCGTGGCTGTTTCACCTGCTGCTTCCTCTGCCTCCTCTGCCTCCTCCCCCACCACCCCAGCCCCCTTACCAGTCGCCCCACCACCTGTCACCCCTTCCCCACTCTCCTCCCCCTCCCCCTCCCCCTCCCCCGCTTCCGCAGCAGCGCCCCCTTGCTTCTTCCCCTTCCGCTTCTTCCCCCCAACCTCCGCCTCCGCCCCCCCTTCCGCCCCCCCACTCTCCCCCAAGTCGTCTTCTCCCCCCGTGCCCAGATCATCCACAACTTTTTTCTTCTTCTTGCTGACTGTTTTTCGAGGGGGATCTATCTCCGCTTCCGCGGCCCCCTCCCCATCCGCCGCGCCCTCCGATTCTTCCGCCAACCCCGCGTCCGCGGGGCCTTCCCCGCCCTCCCCGGGCGGGAGCTCCGCTTCGTTTTCCGCCTCCTCCGCGTCCACGGGGCTCCGCGCGAGATACCTGATTGGTCGGCTTTGAGGCGAGTCGGGATTGCCGAGACTGGGATCTTGATTGCTGGGGCGACTCTGAGGGGTTGAGGGTTCGGGAGGAAGGGGGGGGGAGCGCGGGAAGAGTTTGGAGTCGACTCAAAAGAAATCGGGATGTAGACTGCTGCGCTGACCCTGAAGGAAAAAGGGTTCGGAAGGGAAGGGGAAGGGAGCGCGGGAAGAGGAAGGGGGTTTGGGGGGGGGGGGGGGGGGGGGGGAAGAGGAGAGAGGGGAGGGGGAGAGGAGGGGGGGGAAGACTCGGAGGCGAATGATCATCGCGAAGAGTGCGGTTTACAGTCGAGAAGCGGCTCTGTAGCCGCTGGCTGGACGGGAGGACGGAGGCGGAGGACGGAGGCGGAGGACGGAGGCGGAAGGCGGAGGCGGGAGGCGGAGGCGGAGGACGGAGGCGGAGGGCGGAGGCGGAGGGCGGAGGCGTAGGGTGGTGGATCGACATCGGGAAAGCCGAGATTGGCCTCGGAATTGCTGCGATTGGCCGTGAGTCAAACGGTGGGAGATCTACCGGAGAGATTAAGGTTAGAGGGGACCGGACAGAGAAAGCCGAAATCAGGTCTAGGGACAAAAGATGCCAGTGTAACCGGTACCGGTATAACCGGTATGTTCCTCAGACTCGAGCAACAATCCGGTACAACCTGATTAGTCAGGCCCAAGGTTCTCCTAAGTAGGTCAAAGAGACTCCAGGTGCTGATTGGCTATACTGGTTAGTATCTGCAAAAACGGTCTAAGCTGCGGGTACCGCGCAAATGGCCCCAACCTGAAACGATCGAAGGCTCGTGGAAGGTTCCTTGGGAGGCCTATTGGCGTCGGGAATGGCGCGAGCGGCGGCTGCTAGCGGCACGAAGGCGGCGGCCGCGGCTATTACGGCGAGAACGACCACAACGACCACGGAGAGGCCCTGCTGCAAAGGACGGGACAACGCGATCCGTTCTCCGGCAGCCATGGCTGATCGAGTGGGATTATTGGGAAAGGAAGCTCAACATTCAAATGGGAGAAAAAGGATCAACCAGCAAACTATCAAAGGTATGATATATTACGATCAGACGTCTCAACAAGAGCATTTGGCCGAGTGGTTAAGGCGTGTGCCTGCTAAGTACATGGGCTCTGCCCGCGAGAGTTCGAATCTCTCAGTGCTCGAGGTTTTTTATGCTTTTTACCCGAGCCCTCACTGCTCCCATGACCAGCCTCAAGTCAGACATCCATGGGCCATGGCACACTTCCAGCATCCTCTTTCTCAGTATTGTTTGTTCCTTGACCTGCCAGCCTGCAGCCTGTATTGTTGAGTCCGTGCAAATAATCACCTGCAAGCCTCCACAATGTAGGGCATCTTTCCTGCAATTATCCCAAATGATTCTTTTCATTCCTCCAATGCTGGTATCAGGTACACAAGGTGGTGGTGTGACTGTTTGGCAGAACCTTGCCTTGCCTTTCTGTTTGAGCCATTCCCGTTCTGTACAAGCATCAAGGTGTAGGTAGGTACTTGTATACAGCAACGAGGGTTGCACAAACAGGGGATACAGCAGCAGAACCGCGATGCGTGGACACTGGGCGGGCCTTAGTCCTGTGGAGGTATGTTTGACGTTGAGTATGACCTTGCCCCACGGTTTCAGCCAACTGCAGCCCCCCCCCCCCCCTCCCAGCGCTCCTCCTCATTCAAAAGGGGCAAGCCCCTCCCCCAGCTGTATAATCCTCAGGTCCGCCCTGAGCTGCATGACCCCACCTCGGAAGTACCGGCCATTGTCCTTCATGACCTCGTTCCAAGGATTCAAGAGGCTGCGGTACCCTCGCTCGCGGAACAGCCCCTTGAAGGTGTGCGAGGCCGTCTGCTTCTGCTGCACGAACTGCCCCGACGGGTGCTCCTTCACCAAGAAGGTGAACTCTATTGTCACGCTGTCGTCCAACACCTTGTCATGGGTTGGGCTCCGCTGAAAGAAAGGGAGGGAGAGGCAGGAATGGAGGAGGGGGATGAGGGAGTGAGCACGTGCAACTGCTTCTGCTCCACGGAGTGCCCCGAGGGGTGCTCTTTCAGCAGGAAGGTGAACTCTATCGTCACGCTGTCATCTAGAAGTTCATCATGGGTGGGGCTCTGGTGAAGAGGCAGAAGGGGAATGGTGGGGAGGGAGGGAAATGGGAGGGAGTGAGCACGTGTGACTGCTTCTGCTGCGCAAACTGCCCTGGGGGGCTTCAGGAAAGCAACGGAGCAACTGAGAGCTATGGAAAATCACCTGGGAGGCCTGAAGAATCACCTGGGAGGCCTGGAGGAAGAGGCCAAAGTCTGATCCCCCAACAGGCGCTGCTACCCTCATGACCTTGAGCGAGAAGAGCTTGCCGTGCACCCATGCCCCTCCTGGCGCACAGACAGGAGGGGCGCACAGACAGGAGGGGCGCACAGACACAACAAGGTAGAAACAGGAAGACAAATGACCACGGCGCAGGAGGGGGCAGGCCGCAGCAGTCACTGCTCTGAGCAGCCAAGCAGTCACTGCTCTGAGCAGCCAAGCAGTCACTGCTCTGAGCAGCCAAGCAGTCACTGCTCTGAGCAGCCAAGCAGTCACTGCTCTGAGCAGCCAAGCAGCCACTGCTCTGAGCAGCCAAGCAGTCACTGCTCTGAGCAGCCAAGCAGTCACTGCTCTGAGCAGCCAAGCAGTCACTGCTCTGAGCAGCCAAGCAGTCACTGCTCTGAGCAGCCAAGCAGCCACTGCTCTGAGCAGCCAAGCAGTCACTGCTCTGAGCAGCCAAGCAGTCACTGCTCTGAGCAGCCAAGCAGTCACTGCTCTGAGCAGCCAAGCAGCCACTGCTCTGAGCAGCCAAGCAGTCACTGCTCTGAGCAGCCAAGCAGTCACTGCTCTGAGCAGCCAAGCAGCCACTGCTCTGAGCAGCCAAGCAGCCACCTGCGTGAGCTTGAGAGAGGAGACCTTGCCGTGCACCCACGCCCCTCCAGGAGATGAACAGAAGAGAGAGGGAGAGTAGCAGACTGAAGGGGAAAGGAGCACCAGGTGAGCGATAAGAATCGAGCAGCCACCCACATGAGCTTGAAAGAGACTACCAGCTTGCTGTGCACCGATGCCCCCCCTGGCGAGCAGCAACAGAAGCAGCAAGGCACGTGCTAACAACTGACATTCAACCCGCTGGCATGTAACACCTGCAGTTACCTGCCAAGAGTATCGCCTGCCCCGGCAGCAGCAGCAGCACAGCGACATGCACACATACAGCCTATGTGTGCAGCAGCACACACCGACAGCAGCAGCAGCAGCAGCATCACACTGCACACCGACAGCTGGCGCTGCTGCACAGCCATGCACACATACAGCCTATGTGTGCATACCAGGTAGGTAGGTACTACCAACCTGCCAGGAGAATAGCCTGCCCTGGCCGTAACATGTAGCAGTCCTGCAGCAGCACCTCACTGTGTACATCGACAGCTGGCGGCGGCGCACACACATGCACACATACACCCACCCCCTTTCACCTGCCAGCAGAATGGCCTGCCCCGGCTGCAGCATGTAGCAGTCCTGCAGCAGCACCTCACTGTACACCGACAGCTGGCGACGGCGCTGGTAGCGCCGGTGGTGGTGGTGGTGGTGCTTGAGCGAGTCGAGGATGAGGTGCTGCTGGCGGTCAAACGAGGAGCACTTGAACCAGAGGGCCTCGGTGACCAGGGCGTGGATTGTTGGGGAGTCGGCTTCTGGGGAGGTAGTGACCAGGTCATGGAGGGCGTCTGTTGCCATGGCTGGGAAGCGAATGCTGTCAGCCAACCTGGCAGAAGGGGATAGAAGGCGATAGAAGGGGATGGAAGGGGATAGAAGGCGATAGAAGGCGATAGAAGGGGATGGAAGGGGATAGAAGGCGATAGAAGGGGATGGAAGGCGATAGAAGGCGATAGAAGGCGATAGAAGGCGATAGAAGGGGATGGAAGGGGATAGAAGGGGATAACGAGGAGGAGGTGGGGAAGGAAAAGGTGAGCTTGAGTGAGTCGAGGAAGAGCTGCTGCTGGCGGTCAAATGGCGAGCACTTGAACCAGAGGGCCTTGGTCACCAGGGCGTGCAAGCTTGGGGAGTCGGCTTCTGGGCGTCGGTCAGCAGGGCTGACAGCAGGCGGTGCAGGGCGTGGGTGCACATGAAGGGGAAGCGAATGCGGTGAGCGTGCCTGGGAGCGAGGGACACAAGGGGGTGAGGGGGGAGAGGACCACATGCGGACGGACGGAACAGGTGGGCTTGAGCGAGTCCAGGAGGAGGCGCTGCTGGCGGTCAAACGAGGAGCACTTTAACCAGAGGGCTTCTGTCACTAGGCCGTGCGTGCAAGGTAGAAGAATCTGCTTCTGGGGTTGTGGGTATGAGGGTGTGCAGTGCAGGGCGTCTGTTGCCATGGCTGGCGGGGAAGCGAATGCGGTCTGCCAGCGTGGGTGAGAGGGGCAGACGGAGGGACGAGGGGTGAAAGATTGGACCGCTGGTGCTGGCGCCGGTAGTGGCAAGGGTAGCGGGCCTCTAGAGGGCCTCCGGAGGGAGCAAGAGGAAGTCACATTCTGTGGCGAACCCTCCAAATTGCCACAAGCACCCTCACGCTGTCGACCACGTACCATCACTACCATCACTGCCATCACTGCCATCACTGCCATCACTGCCATCACTGCCATCACTGCCATCACTGCCATCACTGCCATCACTACTGACACAGCCCCACGCACCGGGCCATCATCTCCTTGCGTGTGTTCAGATCCTCCGGCCAGTGGCGCCGCACCCAGTGCAGGCACGCTTCAAAAACCGTCTCCTCCGCTTGCACGCACACCTCGTCGCTCCCCAGCAGCGCTTGCAGGGCCTCCAGAGGCAGGGAGAGGAACTCGGGGGTCTGCCAGGTGGTGTCTAGGGCGTTGAAGTGCCGCACTAGGAAGGCTGCAGATGAGGCGATGAGAAACGAGGCTGGAAGGAGAAAGGGGGGGAAAGAGAAAAGGGGGGGAAAGAGAAAGGGGGGGAAAGAGAAACAAGAGAGAGGAGCTCAGGGGTGTGGTACGAGGAGTCGCGGTTGTTGAAGTGCCGCACTAGGAATGCTGCAGATGAGGTGACCAAAAAGGAAGATGGAAAGGGAGGGGGAGGGGGGGGGGGGGGGGGGGTGGGGTTGTGGGTGGTGCGGGTGTGGGGAGAGGAGCTCGGGGGTGTGGCACGAGGGGTGGAGGCTGTTAAAGTGGCGCACTAGGAATGCTGCACTGGAAGCGATGAGGAAAGAGGCGGCTGGTGGACACCAGGCAGAGGCGCGCAGAGGCGGGCAGAGGAGGGCAGAGGCGGGCAGAGGCGGGCAGAGGCGGGCAGAAGAGGGCAGGAATAAGAGACGGAATATGGATGAAACATGGGAAGAAAAAGAAGCAAGTTTGGGTATAGGAAGTCTACGGCGTGCGTACGAGGAGCGAGCAAGAGATAAGAGATAAGAGTGGGTTGAGGTGCGAGCTACCAGCATCGGAGAGGACGACGTTGGAGCACACGCTGAGGAGAATGCAGGCCATGTCGAGCGATAGAGGCACCTCCCTGGGAAGGACAAAGAGTGTATCGTAGTGGTAAGATCCGGCGAGCAGCAGATAGGAAAACATAAACGTGAAAATATAGAAACGAAGCACTTACAAGAATGACACGATACTGTGTGACCTTGTACTTCCCTAAAACTATCTCTCTCCGCTCCCCCCCGTCTCACTACGCTCACCCCGTCTCACTACGCTCACCCCGTCTCACTACGCCCCCCCTCACTACCCTCCCCCTCTCTCACTACGCCCCTCCTGTCAAACTATACCCCCCCCCTCCCCTCTCACTACGCCCCGCCCCCCTCACTACCCACTCCCCCATCCCCCCCCTCTCACAACCCCCCTTCTCACAACGCCCCCCCCCCCCCGTCTCACCACGGTCCCCCCCGTCTCACCACGCTCTCATGACACTCCCGCGTCTCGTGACACTGCCCCGTCTCACTACACTGGCCCAAGTGTATATCCGAGAGCACCACAGCAGTAGCTCGGATGGTGTGTGCACAACAAGGCATGACCGCACCGACTATCTGCTTTGCTAGCAGCAGCAGCAGCAGCAGCAGCAGGTGTACCACAGCCTCAGGTACTGCAGTCCTGCAGCACAGCCTCGGGATCCTTTCAATACTGCAGTCCCACCTCAGGTGGTGCCCGCACACGTCAACGCACGACCGCACAGCCTTAAGTCCATCCTTGTGTCAATGATGCATGAACCTGTAGTGGAGCAGCACACACGTACCTTAAGTGGTGCGCGCACACGTCAACGCACGACTGCACGGAGTACTTGTTGGCCAGCAGCAGCAAGTGCAGCACAGCCTCGGGATCATCGGAGCCCAGCCGCCCTGTGTACATGTACTGTAGCAGCTGCATGAAGGGGTGCTCCTCTGCAGCATGTTTGGAGGGGGGGGGGAGGGGGAAAGGGTCAAGGACAAGAAACCAGGACGTGATTAGAGCCGCTCCGTGTACAAGTACTGTAGCAGCTGCATGAACGGGTGCTCCTCTGTGAGACATAAACGGAAAGGGAAGGGCGCAACGCCGGGATTAGACCCCTGCGAGCCCTTAATAATCACCGCCCTGTGTACAGGTACTGTAGCAGCTGCATTACAGGGTGCTCACCGCGATACCATCTTTCTTCGGGACACTACCCCTCCCCGGGACACTACCCCTCCCTGGAACACTACCCTTCCCGGGTCACTACCCTTCCCCGGGACACTGCCCTTCCCCCGGACACTGCCCTTTCCGGGGACACTGCCCTTCCCCCGGACACTGCCCTTTCCGGGGACACTGCCCTTCCCCCGGACACTGCCCTTCCCCGGGCCACAATGCTTCATCGGGCATAAAACGAGGGGAGATGGGAGGAATGAAGGACATTAAAAGGAGGTGCTAGGAGTGGGGAAGTCGGGAGACGAGCAGAGAATACTAAAGGCAGGGGAGGTAAAGTCCAGGCTGGGGGGGTCATACAGCAGGGAGAGAGTAAGGCAGGCCAACCAGTCGACAAGACTCACCTTAGGGCGTGAGTCGCATGGTGACAGGATATCACATGCACTTGAACGTGGCACGTCATTCTTAGAGAAAGCTCACCTTGTGGCGCCAGTCGAATGGTTATTGGACGAGAGTTAGACAAAGCCGCACCAGCAGCACCAGGGGGCCGCCATTGTGGGGAGAAGAGCGATTCGAAGAAGTCGGACTGCGACACCAGAATGGCTGATACCACGTGCACTAGAATTGAACCACCCGCACTTGAATTGAACCACGTGCACTTGAATTGAACCACCCGCACTTTAATTGAGCCACCCGCACTTGAATTGAACCACCCGCACTTGAATTGAACCACCCGCACTTGAATTGAACCACCCGCACTAGAATTGAACCACCCGCACTTGAATTGAACCACGTGCACTTGAATTGAACCACGTGCACTTGAATTGAACCACCCGCACTTGAATTGAACCACCCGCACTTGAATTGAACCACCCGCACTTGAATTGAACCACCCGCACTCTAGAATCAGAGCTCACCTTCAGGTGCCAGTCGGATGGTCACGGGACGAGAACCCGTGGCAGCTGCACCAGCAACACCAGCAGCACCAGCAGCACCAGCAGCACCAGCAGCAGGGGGGGGATGCACGGGAGGGGGGCGCCACTGCAGTGAGAAGAGCGATTTGAAGAAGTCGGACTGCGACACGAGGATGGCGGATATGACGTGCACTTGAACCACCCGCTCTCCACTGCTGCTGGCACTAGTGCTGGTGCCACTCGCATCTGCACCACCTGCACCAGCTGCTGCTGCTGCTGCTGCAGTGTCCACTGCCCCTGCTGCGTCTCCCTCTGCTGCTCGTCCTCCTCCTGCTGCCACTCCTGCTGCCACTCCTGCTCTGTCTGCGCCTGCTGCTGCACCGCCTGCTTGCATACGGCCCGCGCATTCCCGGCACTCCATGCAGCCCATCTCTCCCATGCGCGCGTCACCACGAGGGATTGACAGGCGGACAGATAATGCAAGGGGATCGAGACGCGGTGCCACGTTGGACGGCTCCTCTCGGGGATCGAGACGACCCAGCACAGCACCGCCAACGAGCTGCGGCGCCACGTCAGCAACCGCACCGGCTGATGGAGTTGCAGCGGCGTCCGCGCCGTCCGTTCTGCCGGAATCAGAGGCATCCAGCTGGTGACTTTCCAACCGGTCGCTGCAGCCGTTCTGATGCGCCTGGGGACCATCCTCGCACTCGTGCCCGTGCCGCTTTCCGTCGTTGTCTCGCTGGCACTGGTGCTCGTGCCGGCCCTCCTGGTCCTCGTCCTCGTGGGGGACGATCTGGAGGGCGAGGCATCGGTCGCTGAAGTGGGGGTTGTTGAAGGCGAACGAGAAGTCGAACGCGCGCGGATCAGGCGGGTACGACGGCCGCGGGGGAGGGTGCGGACGGCACTGATGGGGATGGCACTGGTGAGGAGGATATTGGGAGTGGCAGGGACGCGCCTCGCTGGGACTGCTGGTGGTGGTGGTGGTGGTGGTGGTGGTGGTGGTGGTGGTGGCGGGATTCATGGGGGTCGGTAATGGGAGCGCGTGTAGCGCGTATAGCGCGTATGCGAGCTAGCAGGGACGGACAGGCTGCACGGACAGCTGAGAGCACCTGCTATCAGCTCGGCAGTGAAGGTGGCTACCAGACGAGTTACTGGTTAACAGTCGCCACTCGTGTGCGGCTCAGCTCCTTACTGAAGAGGGCTGCTCGGACGCCTGTACAGATAGCACAACCAGCAACCGCAGGAGAGGCTACCACGGACGCTACAGCTTAGGGTACAAGCAGGAGAGGGTGCGTTGGTTGTCGGAATGCTGCTGGACAAGCATCTAGGGCTCTGCGGTGGTGAGCCTGGGTGATTGCTGACAAATGCCGTGACTTGGAAATTCCTGCCTGCTACCACCCCTTAGGGATCCCACATGGAGCCTATTACCACTTAGAGCCACATGCCTGCATGTCGGGCAGGTTGGAATCTGCTTCTGGTTTCGGCGAAAGGACAAGCTGGTAACAGGCGGAGTCGCCGAACCCTGGCGTGCACGCAAATTCTTTTGCTCCACGGGGCAAGCCATCACAGACCCATGTTTCGCAGGAAACTGGGCATGCGTCGGTAACTGATATCGTCAGCGTCGCTAATTTCGCTGAGCGGGTATCAGAGCGGTTCAGAGGCTACATTTTGAAGGCCAACAGCCTGTTCTCACCTACCAAACCGTAGGTGGGGTGTACTTGCGTTCGGTCACCCATTCGTTGGCTCGCGAAACTGAGCATCGCACGGTCTTGGCGAACACAAAAATTTCGAGGAGCGAGGGTCGCGAAGCCTCGCAGCTTTCGAATGTGATGTTAGCACCTTGCCGCAAGGGCGTGTCGTAAATGAGGTCCAAAGCACGCTTTCTACGGTGAATTGAGGTTATTTCGAATTCGAAAGCGGTGAAGAGCAATATTCGCTTATCATCATGTCGCATTGTACCACATGCAGCAGATCCTGATCCTAAACTGCCTCACCAGCCTCAACCTTGTTCGGTCGAAGGTAGGTTCAGCCTGAACCTTGTACTCCACATTAGGAGCTCTCGTCTGGTGATCAGGCGTCGCGAGCCTAACCATTATGTGATACATCCGTCCGCTAACGTTTTCGCTTGGCGAAAACAAAGTCCGTCTGGTTACAGTTTCTGCTTCCCGGGACAAACTACTCCAGCCTCGCGCCTGCCGCTCCTGTTGCGACTCGTGACGTATCTGCGAGGAATAGACAGCGTCGAGAGAGTCAGCTGCCTCACTAATGCGCCGAAACCTAATCCGTTTCTCATAAAAGTCACGCATTTACACCTCCAGCACTCATGCCTGTTCCGCGAACCCGCTTGTAGTTGACTCAAAAGCAGTGTCAGATGCTTCACTAGTGCCACGAAACCCTAATTCGGCTTTCAGGCGTTTCAAAACGAAACCCTAATTCGGCTCCAGTTAAAGCCCGAAGCCCCGAGTCTCCACCTGCTGCAGAGATGCCTGTTCCGCGAAACCGTTCCGGCGGCTTCACGCCGAAATCAGGCAGCGCCTCGTCCCTGTTTAAAGCCTCCTCCTCCTCCTCGTCCTCCTCCTCGTCCCCCTCTCTCTCCTCGCGGCTCTCCTGGAATGACCTCGCTCCGGCGCTGTCCGTAGCGCTGCTGCTTGTAGCGGGTATGCTGCTCGCGGTGACGTACATCCGTGTGTCGTCAATGCGGTGCAATGCGGTGCAGCTGGAGCAATACGTGAGGCTCAAGGTGAGCGGCTGCCTATAGCAGGTACGACTCCCGCTGTCACATGCGCGAATCGTCCATCAGATGCCAAGTGACGCTGACGTATCAAGGCATCACACGTTGAATCCAACCACCCAATCGCAAGGCATCGCCCCATCACTGAATCCATCACATGGTCGTCGAGGAAATCCATGGCGCAAGTTGAACCTCCCAATCCCCTGAAAGCCTCCCTAATGTCTGCAACTCTCTTCGCTCCCTGAGATTCTCCAACCCCAACCTTCTCCTCTCGATTTCCCCCAATTTTGTCATTTTGCCTCCTCGTTTTCTGCCCGCCTATTATTTCCCCCCGTCTCATTCCCCCTTCTCCTCATGCTCTCAAACCCCCTAACTCACTCCCCCCCCTCTCCCCCCACCCGACACTCCCCCCATCATGCGTGCGCCTGTGCCTGCAGGGAGGATCCAGGGAGGAGCGGCAGAATCTGGTGGAGAGGCAGGTGAGGGATTCGGGCAGGTGAGGAATTTGGGCAGGTGGGGAATTTGGGCAGGTGAGGAATTTGGGTATGTGTGTAGAGGGGAAAGAGCAGAGGAGAAAAAGTGGGAAGGGGAGACGTTCGGGTATGTGAGATCATATGTATGCAGGTGGACGGATGGCCTGGATAGATGATGCTGCTATGGCATGTGTAGGCTTGTGATCAAGGCTGATAAGCAGCGCTGTTTTGCCATGTGTGCAGAATGACATTGGCAAGCGAACAGCTGAAGCTCTTCGCGAAGCCGTTCAGCTGGTTCCTGTAAGTGCACCCATGTGCGTTCCATTGCCATCCCATGTCATGCCACGCTAATTGCCAGCTCATGCTTGTGCAGCCATTCTTGGAGCAGCCATCCAGTCAGGCTCCTAGAGTGCATCCATGCTCATCCTCTTTCTCATGCTCCTTTCATGATGGCCCATGCCTTATCACGCCACGCCACGCCACGCCATGGCAAGGACGTCCTTTTCGTCTCCGTCATTCCTCCGCTGTATTCCACTCTTCTATCTTTGCTCCCATTTCCATCCTTCCCCTACTATTGTTTGCTCGTGCTTCCTCTGGCGTCTTCCCACCGTATCTCCCCCCCCCTATCACCCTCTCCCTCCCCTCTCTCCCCTCGTCAGCATTTCCCTTCCATTGCAAAGTATCATCATGCGGATACACTTTGTTTGGCGTGGGGCTTGTTAATGCAGTCTTTGTGTCGTTTATCATTTGCCAATTGTGCCCCCCCCACATGTGTACCACCAGGGATTGTGCCCTCAAGCCACCGCGGCACAGGGAAAGCCATCCTCCTCCCTGCCGCCTGCCTGCTGCAGCAGCCAGCGGCACTGCTGGCGGCCTGGAGGCAGTGAAGCACGCCTTCAAGCAGATCGTGCGCGCACACATTCCCGTCCTTCTCCACGCCGCTTTACCCCCTTCTGCCCTACCACCAGGGATGGCAGGCCACCGCAGTACAGAAAAAGCCATCCTCCTCCCTGCCGCCTGCCTCTGCAGCTGCTGGCGGCCTGGCGGCGGTGAAGCATGCCTTCAAGCAGATCGTGCTGTCCCGCATTGAGCGTGCCATCGCTCGCCAGAAGGTGAGCTCCCAACCCTACCTACCAGGCGCCTCAGAACGACTCAGCTTGTGAGTCGCCCCGGCATCTCAGAGTTTCGAGAATCTAATTGATTTGCCACTGCTCGGCAGAAGGTGAGCTCAGGCACCTCAACGACGGCACCATGATGTGCCATGTGCAGTGCATCAGCTATACCAAACGGCAGTGAAGCACGCCTTCAAGCAGATTGTGTTCTCCCGCATTGAGCATGCCATCGCTCGGCAGAAGGTATCAGGCGCCTCAGAACCAATCAGATTGTGAGGCGCCGCGGCAACTCAGTTTTTTTAGAATCTAATTGATTTGCCACTGCTCGGCAGAAGGTGAGCTCTCAGTGCTATCCGGCACCTCAACGACGGCACCATGTGCATCACCTCATGTGCATCACCTCATGTGCATCACCTCATGTGCATCACCCCATGTGCATCACCCCATGTGCATCACCCCATGTGCTTCACCCCATGTGCATCACCCCATGTGCTTCACCTCTATCAACTCTATGAGGCGCATCAGCCTCGAGAGCTGTGTGCGTGCCCTTCAGTTCAGTTTTGCGACATCTCGAAAGTGAACTCGTACCGCTCAGCTCTACCAGGCGCCTCAAGAGTCGCACCATGATGTGTGTGCAAGCCGCCCTCACGGTGCGATTCGGTTTTTTAGTCGACTAAAAAAATCGACTTATTACACGTAGAGTCGCGCACCATGATGTGTGTGCAACTCGCACTCACGGTGCGATTCGGTCTTTTAGTCGACTAAAAAAAACGACTTCGTACACGTAGAGCCACGCACCATGATGTGTGTGCGCCGCTCCTTCACGGTGCAATTGGGATTGAGTGGTCATGATCATGCCCCTTCCCTCCATACCATCCACTTCAACCACGAGGAGCATGCTCCAATGTGGGGAGACACACCCACCAATCACCATCCACCAGGAGCACCTCACACTCTCAATGGTGATTGCTGGGTGGTGCTCCTGGAGCAATCACGCCCTTGGTACCGCATCCACTTTACCTAAGTTGCTGGTTCTGACCTCTCAGTTGCTGCCACGTATTGACACCCTGGCAGCTACTTGGTGCTCTGTCGGACTTGCTCCTGGTGCAATCGTGCCCTTGGTACCGCATCGACCCCACCCACCAGGAGCACCTCCTGATCAAGCAAGTGCAGCGCAGAAGGCAGCGCAGCGAGCAGGCAAGTGCGCTGCAGCCATGGTCACCAAGAGCTGCCCGCCCTGCCCTGACTGCTTTAATCACTGTACCCTTCTTCTCCACCATCCTACCCCGCCCACCAGGAGCATGTGCGTGTGCACATTGTTATCAAGAAAGCAGCGCAGCGGGCAGGCAAGTGGTGAGCAGCCATGGGCAGCAAGAGCTGCCTCCCAGGCCCTGATTCCCGTGACCCACTGTACCCTGTTGGTTCCCTCTCCTGCTCCACCCCACCCCACCCCGCCAGGAGCACCTTCAGATCAGGGGAGTCATCAAGAAAGCAGCGCAGCGGGCAGGCAAGTGGTCAGCAGCCATGGGCACCAAGAGCTGCCCGCCCTGCCCTGACTGCTCGCAGCTACAGCAGCAGCAGCAGCAGGGGCAGCAAGAGGGGGGTGTCGTCGATCTCGACTTGCATTTTCCCTCCTCTTCCGCATCCTTGCCTTCTGCTCTGAGGGTCGTGGGACCGCTCTGCACCGCATCCGGGTTTGTCGACTGCGGCTGCCCGTATGGCGAGTCGGGCAGGGTGGAATTTTCCACGGGGCTGCCCGGCCAGCAAGAGGAGGAGGGTGAAGGGGAAAAGAAGCCGCTGTGTGTGGATGGCAGTTCTCCTGGCAGATGGACGGGCTTCAGCCAATGGGAGGCTGACAACTGTCAGTACAGGTGGGTCGGCTTGTCCTGACAAGTCAGAACAGGTGGGCGGGCGGGTGGGCTTGTCCTTACCTAGTCAGGCCTTTAACGCCAAAAGAGTTCACCCTTTTGGCGACCACACCTCTCACCCCCACACCTCTCACCCCCCCACCTCTCACCCCCTCACCTCTCAACTCCCCACCTCTCAACCCCCCACATCTCACCCCCCCACCTCTCGCCCCCCCACCTCTCGCCCCCCCACCTCTCGCCCCCTCACCTCTCGTCCGCCCACCTCTCGCCCCCTCACCTCTCGCCCCCTCACCTCTCGCCCCCTCACCTCTCGCCCCCTCACTTCTCGCCTCCTCGCCCTCGACTTTGCCGCCTCCCTCTCTCCCATCCACTCCGCGTGCTTCTCCTCGCCTTGCCCCCCTCCGCCCTCCCCCGTCCCCCCCTGCCAGGGACATCCCTCTACCCCACTTGCATCAGTGCCTGAACAACAAGTGGGTGCATTTCTTTGGCGACCACACCTCCCGCCATCTCGCCCTCTACTTTGCGCGCCTGCTGGGGCTGCAGAAGCAAGGCGAAGGGGAGGATGACGGGGAGGAGGGCGACGGGCCGTTCGGGGGAGGTGGGGGAGGGGAAGGGGGAGAGGGCGGAGAGGGGGGAGAGAGGATGGGGGAAGGTGGGGGTGAGGGAGAGGGGGAGGGGGAGGGGAAGCGAGGGCCGGGGGTGGCAGAGGGGGTGGAGGAGGAGGGGGACGGGGAGGGGGGTGGGGTGGGTGTTGCTGCTGCTGGTGGTGGTGGTGGTGGGGGCAGGGGGAGGGGAGAGATGACTGCTGATGATGTGGGAGAGATGGTGAGACGAAGGCGGCTGGCGTTGGAAAGTAATGGAGAGAGGGAGGGGGGCGAGGGTGGGCTGGAGGAATGGAGGACGCATGTGAGGAGGAGCAGCAGCAGTGCCACCACTACGATCGCAACTGCCAGCAGCAGCAGCACCAACATCAGCAGCAGTGGGCGGAGGGTGCTAGCAGCGACAGAGCTAGGGGGCAGTGGCAGGGGGGAAGGCGGGCCAAGAGTGACGTACCTCTTCCGGGGCAAGATGGCCCGGCAGCGACACCCGGAGGTGGGGCATCCCGAGGTTGGTTCTGGTCTGGTAATCTCTTTTGAGGCACCGCAAGAGCTAGGAGGCAGTGGCAGGGGCAAAGGCGGGCTGAGAGTGACGTATCTGTTTCGGGGCAAGGTGGCGCAGCAGCGATACCCAGAGGTGGGTGCACGAGGTGATGGGGTGGGGGAAGAGGCCCCTGCCTGAACTTCGTCACTCTTCCCTCGCCCAAGCCTCGTTCTTCCTTGCCTTCCTTCCCTCCTGCTCTCCCCCCCCCCTCATGCAGCCTAGCATGCCCCAGCAGCACGATCCGAACGATCAGTTTACGCTTTTTAGGCGCCTCAGAAAATATCATTTTCTACCTAATATGACTAAGAAAGGCAGGCGGCCGGATTTTATGGTGATGAATGTGGGGGCGCACGAGGTGATGGGGTGGGGGAAGAGATCCCCTCCGGAGCTACTCTTCCCTCCCACTTACCTTGAACAAACCTCCCCCTTCCCCTTTCCCCAATCCCACGTCCCCCTTCTGCCCTCCCTTCCCCCCCACGCAGCCCGGCGCGCTGGAGCAGCGCGATTTGAACGACCAGTTCCCGATGAACATGACGAAGAAAGGCGGGCGGCCGGGTGTCACTGTGATGAATGCGGGGGCGCGCGAGGTGCTGGGGTGATTGGGGTGGGGGAAGAGGCCCCTGCCTAACCTCCTGCTCTCCTCGTTCTTCTCTTTTTCTCCCACACCTACATGCAGCCCGGCACGCCAGAGCAGCGCGATCTGAACGACCAGTTCCTGATGAACATGACCAGAAAGGGGGGCCGGCCGGATTTCATTGTGATGAATGTGGGGGTGCACGAGGTGATGGGGTGGGGGAAGAGGCCAGCTCCTGACCTCAGCTTCGACTCGTTTCGGGAAGATACCGAGAAGCTTCTGGACCTGCTGAAGCGGACGTACGGAGGGGGGAGTGTGGTGTGGTGGAAGGGGAATTACATCTGGCCAGGTGCGTGATTTAGTCAGGTGTAGGTTTTTGCCCATGTGAGGTGTTTAGTCAGGTGATTATTTTCTTCGTGATTCGTTTTCCTCCCTGCATGTGGTCAGGTGTGATGCATCTCCCTCCCTGCATGTGGTCAGGTGTGATGCATCTCCCTCCCTGCATGTGGTCAGGTGTGATGCATCTCCCTCCCTGCATGTGGTCAGGTGTGATGCATCTCCCTCCCTGCATGTGGTCAGGTGTGATGCATCTCCCTCCCTGCATGCGGACTTATGTTTGGCCGATGTGCACAAACTCCACGGCACAACACATGGCCACGTCTGTGGGATCCCCTGTGTTTTGAGTCGACTCAAAACACACCTGGCCACGTATGTGGGATCCCCTGTGTTTTGAGTCGACTCAAAACACACCTGGCCACGTATGTGGGATCCCCTGTGTTTTGAGTCGACTCAAAACACACCTGTCCACGTATGTGGGATCCCCTGTGGCCATGTGCTGTTGTCTCCATGCCATTCTTTCTCACACTTTCAGGTGCGCTGCTGATGGAGGGTGCTCTCATTTCAGTTGCAGCTCAGTGTTGCGGTGACTCAAGTGCCCGCTACCATATGTCTCTTGCCCTTCCATTACACTTCTACAGGGGTGGTTCTTGTTTCTCATGTACCTATTACCATCTTCATGGTGCTTTCAGAAGCGGTGCTTGTGGAGTACTCCCAGGTGCAGCAGGGTTGAGGGGACTTAACATAAGTGCCGAGTACTTCATTTCTGTTGTTGTCCGTTGCACTTTCACAGGAGCCGTGCTTATGGAGGAGTATTTCCAGGTGCAGCGGTGTTGAATTGCCTCTGAGAAATGTCCGCTACACCATGCGTTGCACCATATCCGTTCCCATATTGTGCTTACAGGAGCCGTGCTTATGGAGGAGTATTTCCAGGTGCAGCAGTTTCACGAGCTCTATCAGGCGCATGCGTACAGAAGGTTCCAGGAAGCGGGGCACGTTGTGGCCGACTTTTACCAGACCACCAGGGACAGGCCAGAGCTGGTGGCTTCACAAGACGGGACTCGATATAGTGTAGAAGTTATGGTGCTGCATGCGAAGATCATTGCCAATATTCTATGCAACCATAAGTGAGCACTAAGGGTACATTCTGTCAAATTATATATTTATATATATATATTTATTTATTTATTTGTTTAGGCTTGGTAGGTGTGCTACATTGCTGGATCCTACTGTAGAGGGCACAACCCCCCCTTCTTGTATCTCTTCCTCTTCTAGTCCAACACTCTTTTCTCTCGTCACTTTTCCTAGCACCTAAAACCTCTTGCTATTCTCATGCCTAGCTCAACCCTACCTTAGCTTCTTAGCTCTTTCTAACATGGTTTCAGAGCAGCAGGTCCGTTCTGCTGGGCCGTCTAATCACGCTTCCGCAGCGTACTCTTTCCCTTCCCGTCACTTTCGCGCCGTCGTGGCGGCCTCGCGGCGCTGCCGCGGAGATCTCGTCCAGCAACCGTGGCGGCCTCGTCGCGCTGCCGCAGCGACCTCGTCGATTTCGCGCCGCCGTGGCGGCCACGTCGTGCTGCCATGGCGGCTTCGCCGTACAGCCGTGGCAGCCTCGACGTGCTGCCGTGGCGTCAACGCCACGCCGTGTCGACGTCGTCGCGCTGCCGTGGCTGCGTCGACGCGACGGCTCACGGGCTATAGTGGGCTGCGCATTGTTTTAGGTGCCAGCCGTACGCCCGCATGACAGCCAGCGCGCCAGCCAGGGCGCCTCGCTGAAGCCACGCCCCCCCCCCCTCCCCCGCGCCACCCCTCATTCCAGCTGCAGCTGATGATTCTCGTCCCAGTCGTCGCCGGGTCGTGCCACACCGCCGGGCGCCGCGAGCTTAGCAGTCGCCGCCGCCGTCGTCGAAGCCGCCGCCGCCAATGCAGGTGCAGCTCCACCCGCTCGGCCGCTGCCGCTGTCGTCGTCGTTGAAGCCGCCGCAGACGCCTTTGCTGCCACCCGCCGGGGGTGTCACCGCTTCGCACGAGGGGTAGACGCCACAGCTGCTGAAGGGCATGGGGGTGCAAGGGTTTGGGGGTGTTGCGTGTTGGGTGGGCTTTCGCCTACCAAGCCTAGGGGGTGTGTCAAATTATATATTATATACATAAATTTGTTTAGGCTTGGTAGGTGTGCTACATTGCTGGATCCTACTGTAGAGGGGACAACCCCCCCTTCTTGTATCTCTTTCTCTTCTAGTCCAAGACTCTTTTCTCTCGTCACTTTTCCTAGCACCTAAAACCTCTCGCTATTCTCATGCCTAGCTCAACCCTACCTTAGCTTCTTAGCTCTTTCTAACACATTCCTGCGGCTGCAGCCCGCTCGTCGCGGCAGTTTATAAAGCGACGAGAGGTTTTCGAAATAAGTTCCCTTCGTCAGTTTGTCGCGCTGCTTACGTACGAAACATTGTGAGCAGGGCCTCAGATTGGTTTTGAGATACCCTGATTGCTCAGGGTCCCCCCCCATGTGCAGCCTGATTTTTTCAGGGCTCCCAAAAAAAAATCCGGTGAATAATCAGGGTTACTTCAGAATATCACGCGGATTTTACGAAATTGGGAGATGGGCGAAACGGAACTTGGGGAGGACAGGGACGGGACAGAGAGGGGGCAGGGGGGGAACGAGGGAGGGAGGATTCCCGCGGGAATCATTATGTTTCTGAGGCCGTCAATTTTTGCGGCGACTTTTTAAAGGAAGCCTCGGCCAATCAGATTTCGCCGATCGATCCAAAGTTGCAGCAAGATTGCAGGAGCGCGAGGAGGAAATCTCGCCCTCACAACGCTCCAAGGCGCACATTGGGCCCTAAATTCGGCTAAGGGCCGAGTCCTCTCACAACACACGTTAGCCCTAAATTTGGCCAAGGGCTAAAAAATCCCCTCACACATCCCCCAGCACACGCAAGCCCTAAATTTGGCCAAGGGCCAAATGCCCCCTCACTTAAAGCCGTTGACCCAAATTGCAGAAATTTTGTTTCAAGTTCATTAATCTTGAAACTGCCCTTCTGGCAGGCCTCTGGATAGGATTCGAAGTACTTTTTCTTGTAAGGGTACTCGCTTGCTGCCACTTTTTCTGTAAGGGTATTTTTTTTAGCTACTTTGTGATATAAGGGTCCTAAATATTTGTATTTTTTCACATAAGGGTATAACTCCAGCGCAGCCTTACACTTTACTGTAGTTACAGGATCTCGCATGATCAGACGACTGACGTGTTGTAGATACTGTATGATGTGACGACGTGCCTTGGGTGGCACTCGACAGGGTGCACCAAGATTTTTGGTTGTTAGTGCTGAAGTGGAGGGAATGTCGCACCTCGGTAATTTTGCTGTTAGTGCGTATTTCTACATTAGAGCGTTCAGTACCAGGGAAGCAAACTTCGCGAAGTACCAAATCAAACCGAACAGGAATTCGCGTTTTGACCCTCGGACCTCACTGTTTCGCGTTTCAGAGTCCATTTCGGGTTTGCTGGTACTGATTACTATCTTGTAGAAATACGACCTCATTCCCAAGACCCTTCCTGGTCTCGACCTGATTTCCCGTTAGTGCCCCACTCGGTTTTTTCTTTTCTTTCTTTCTTTCTTTAATTTCTTTTAACGAATGTAGTGGCGGATACGACTCTACCAACACGAATTATACATTCAAGATGACAGGTTTTGTAACTGTGCGCATGAATTCTTGGGTGAGTGGCAGCCATAAAAAGCGTAAACCATTAGCAGAAGAAATTGACGACGTGATCCCAGTCGTGCGCGGGCAGGGGCCAGGTAAAAACCTGTAAATTCAAGTCGCCGATATTTCGTAGGCGCGACATTCCCTCGCCGAAATGGGTAGGGGGGAAAAGATGGTTTGACATATCACGTCCAGGGCTTTCTTTTCGTTTCAGGCTACCCTGTAATTTCAACGTAGTTTCAGGGCTTTCTTTTCGTTTCAGGACTGTCTCTCTTAGTGGGGGACTTAGCCGAATCCTCTGGGTTGCAGTAGCTTTGTCTCTGCCAGTGGGGGACTTCACCAATTTTTCGGGGTCGCTCGAGGGCTGTGGGAGGAATGCCTTTGGCAGTGGGGGACTTAGCCGAAATCTTGGGTTGCGGGGGGTATAGGAGGAATGACTCTCGGATTGGGGGGGGACTTAGCCGAAATCTACAGGTTGCCAAGGGGATCAATGATTACAGCGGGGGATCGCATGTGTGATTGTGTAAGGGTGATTTTACAGAACACTTTTCCGCATCAGGGTGCTAACGCTGCACCACTTTTCAAAATCAGGGTCCGGTACAAATTTAGTTTTTTTCATAAGGGTCCAAAACTAAACCACTTTTAAATATAAGGGTCCAAAACCAACCCCAGCCTTATAGTAAGGGCCGTAAGGGTATTTTACCCTGATATCCTGAGGCCTGCCTTCTGGTAACCCAGTTCCGCAAAACGAGAGGGAAAACTAAGATCGCGCACCAAAAAGACGGGAAACATGTGATAGGCGTGCGCCACCCCCAGCCAGTTCCGCCCCTGCCCCCGATACACTAGGCGTTTGAGCAGAAAGAAACTTGAAACTTGCGCTCATACATTTTGGGACTTTTGAAGTGCAACCCAGCCCAGCGCCACCACGCCTAAGGGCGTGGTACTTCTGCAAAAACTGGGCCAAGTTGCGCAGCGCAGGAATCACAGTTTGCGAAGTGCCTGAAACGATAGCGAATTGTTTGTTACTAGATTCCCCGCACCAAATCTAGTTTCGCGTTTCGATTTGCATTTTTCGTGCGAGCGGCGTAAAAATACCAATGTTCTTTACAACAGTTGATATGCGTGCGCCACCCCACCCCAAAGTTGTTTGGCGAAAATTGCCAAGTCAAGTTACCCACACGAGTTGAGCAGCAGGGTCAAGTTGCACAGCCCAAATCTCGCCAAAAGCACCACATCCTTACGTGTGCCTTCCTATTGTTCGCTGTTCATCACCCCTCCCACACTCCCATTCTCTCCCTCCTTCCCCCCCCCCCCCCCCCCCCCCCCCCACCCCCCCACCCCGCCAACCAACTTCCCGCGCCTAGCGCGCCCCTCCTTTCCCTTTTCCGTCCCACCCTCCCCTTTTGTCCTTTTATATTGGCGGTGTTTTGCGTGCTCGGTTTGTTTGCGCCCTGATTGGTTCATGAGGTTTCGTCAAGAGCGTTTTTGTCGCGCATGGTGTTGCGACGCTCGCTCGTTGGCGAAAACCACTCGCCACCTAGCACCACTGCCCTACACCCCTGCGCGCTGCCATGTCCAACTTTTTGCCCCTATCATGTTTATTAATCTTGCACGTTTTGGGTCAACGGCTTTAACCCCCCAGCACACATCGAGCAGGGGAAACATGTGGTTATTATGGCAGGGCAATTATGCTGTTACATAGGCGGACACACCAGAGTCCAACGTGAAGGAAAGCGCGGCGGTAGCGTCGGCCGGCGGGGGCACTAGCGTGGAGTCAAGGCTAAAGAAGGCATGAGATCCTACGCCTGACGCAGCAGGGGAGCCTCGACTAAACACAACAGACACACCTAGGCAAGGCAACACATGGTAATAAGATCCAGTTACACTAGAGTCATCAAGATACATGGCATACATAGCAGAGCGAATCTGATCCATATTTGGCTCAAAGACCGGCACACGACGACGTACCAGGCTGCGCCAAACCAAGAGGGACGGCGCGGGCCCGAAGCGGAGACGGAAGAGGCCATCGAGGCGGCGGTAGCAGCGGGCAGCGGTGTGACTGGGATGGTCACACACGGTGCCACGAAGGGAACCAGTCTGAAGCTGGTACTGGCAACTCACAGAACTGGAGCCGCTACCCGACGTCGAGCAGCGAGGGTCGCCTCCGCGGCCACCACCACCGAAGCCGCCCAGCCACCACGGGAGCGGGGCCCCCAACTGCTGCTGCTGCTCTGTGGCATCTGCTCCCACCCCCTCGTCTCCACTCCCAGCACTCCCACCACCGCCACCTCCCCCGCCACCCCCACCACCCCCAACCCCATTCCCTCCCTTACGCCCCCCTCGGGGGTGATGGGGGGCTCTACCCTGATGAGGCTGCGATGAGGCCGCTGCGGCGATCTCAGCGACAGGGGCTGTGTCCGCGACAGAAGCGGTAATGTTAGAGTAGGTGCACTGGGAGGGAGCACAGCCCTGGAAGATAGGGAGTGCCGCTGTACCGCTAGACTGAGCAATAGTGCGCTGTCGGGTCTCTATCGCTGACAGGGTAGCGACGAAGTCACTAAAGGTGAGGTCAGCGGGGTAGAGGCTAAGGAAGGTGTCGCGTTCGGTGGCTAGGTGGTCGGTGAGGTGCATGGCTAGGAAATAAAGCGTAGCATCGAGGGGGGAAGGAAATACAGTGAGTTGAGCCTCAGTGCTAGCAGCGCGGTAGCTAGCCTCAAGCGCGCGCAGGTGAGTGGCAAGTTTAGTGACACTAGGGAAGGACGCGAGATCAGAAAAGAGCAGGGGCAGGAGGAGGCGGCCAGCAGAGGCGGAGGCGGGAGTGGAATAGCGAGCAATGACTGCATCCAGGTACTCCTTGGCCATCTCTAGGGTCTGAAAGCGGGGACGCTCGAACATGGGGAGGGCGTGGCTGATGGTAAGCTGTGCAGTGGCGTTACGCGATTCCCAGACAGAGTGAGCGAGCTCAGTAGCTGCGAAAGCCTCACACTTAGCAGGCATGGGGGCGTCAGGTAAGACAGCAGGCACGGGGGGGCAGGGCAGCTTACCGTCGACATGGACGGCCAGAGACTGGCCATCCTGGCGCTGACCCTTCAGCTACCGGCGCAGGTCGGCGAGCCACGCCTCAAAACCGACAGCTCGACCCTCCACGTCCAAGCGGAGAACACCGTCCACCATTACGTACAGCTGCAGCGGTTGGAGAGCTCAGGCGGAGGAGGAGCAGTGGGCAGGCGAGTGCGGTGGAGTGCGGTGGAGAGCGGTGGAGAGCGGTTGGGTTCGGTGGAGTGCGGTGGGGTGCGGTGGGGTGCGGTGGGGTGCGGTTGGGTGCGGTAGAATGCGGTGAAGTCGTAAGAGAGGAGACGGCCGGCGAGAGCGCCGGCGCAGCAGAGAAGGGTCGGCGGCGCGATGGGGCTGGGAGAGAGTAGGGGTTGCCGGTGAGCAGGGGCTGGCGCGGCGAGCTGGGGCGGCGCGGCGAGCGGGGGCCGACGCGGCGAGTTGGGGCGCTGCGGCGAGCCAGGGCCGGCAGCAAGCTGGGGGCCAGACAGCGAGCTGGGGGCTGTACGACGGAGCTGGGGCCGGTGGCGAACTGGGGGCCGCGGCGAGCTGGGGCCCGCGACGAACTGGGGGCCGACGGCGAGCAGGGGCTGGCGGCGAATTTGGGCCCGCGGCGAGCTGGGGTCGACGGCGAGCGGGGGGCCACGGCGAGCTGGGGGCTACGCGGCGAGATGGGGGCCGCGGCGAGCTGGGGGCCGCGGCGAGCTGGGGGCCACGCGGCGAGTTTGGGCCGACGGCGAGCTGGGGTCGGCCGTGAGCAGGGGTCGCGGCGAGCTAAGGCTTGAGGCTAGCTGGGACCGACGGCGAGCTGGGGCCGGCGGCGAGCGGGGGGGTGCGGCGAGCCGGGGGCCGCGCGACGAGCTAGGGGCCAGTGCGGCGGGCTGGGGGCCAGCGCGGCGATCAAAGGGCCAGCGCGACTGGACGGGCGGCGCGGCGGGCTGGGGCCAGCACGGCGGGCTAGGGACCTGCACGGCAGTCTAAGGCCAGCGCGGCGAGCAAGGGGCCAGCACGGCGACCTAGGGCTAGCGTGACGCGAAAGGCTAGGAGAGCGGTAGGCTAGGGCTAGGGCGGAAGCGCGGGTGGGTGGGACCTACCTAGCGTGATACCGTTTCAGAATGAGTAAATGAATACTAGCAAGGCCAGACAGGGTGATATAGGTGTTTGGGTTGTACTCACTAACCAGTTTAGCCTGTAACTAGACATGCATAACAAATGTATAGGTTGATAGTAAACTCACATTCCGATTGTCGAACATGTTTGAGAAACAAAAGTCAAAAACCAAAATTTGCAGACCATAGCAAAAATGTGACAACATACGGTAACCTTTTCCGTGCGTTGACGTGTGAGTTGGGCAGATTTTTGGGGCTGCCCAGGCT